GTTGAAGTATAACATGAACAATTCCCGCTAGGAATCAAACTCAACTCTATGCAATTTATTAAGTACTAACACAAAGTGTTTTTATCTTTCAGTATTTGAAACATTGTTCATATTTTTCTTTTTCTTTTTTCTTTTCAGAAACATTGTTCATGTTTTTCACTGTAACTCGTATTGTACAACTACTATCTCAAGAATTATATAAAAATTAAACCAAAACCTACTTGTTCTTTCTTTGGAAAAGGTTGCTTCTACGAAACCTTAAAACAGATCAACATCGACTAAATTAAAGAAATCCCAACAGCATATACGGGTGTTCCCACTAATGCATCCATTATTTATATTTTCCAGTGTATGTTGAGTGTGTCAGCATAATAATCTGTCTGCCTTATCAGTGTTGCCAACGCAAGATTTATCTGTGCTAGAGATAAGGTGATAGCAGCCTATAAGGACACATCCTTCCGTACAAGAAGTCCAATTTGCTCACAGAATTCAACCACTTGACAATGCAGAAGGCCATTATATTGTGTGCTACACATTCTAGAATAATCGATGATGTTAAAATATGTACAGTATCTATGTAGTAGGACGTTGCGTTCAATTTGACCAATTGATCGAGATGTAGTACATCACATTGGATGCTAGCTAACTCATCTGAATCACTCGAAGCCTTGACCTTTAATTAGGATCAAGGTATTTCAATAACTAGGCAGAGGAAAAATTAATAAAAACTAGCATAATATTTTCCCTCGTACTTTTGCGTAGAGGTAGATTAAGGTGTAATTACATTTAATATAAATTCCTTTGTTTCTACTTTCAATAGATACAGTTAATTTGCTTCGATCGCTTCTGTATTATAGATACAATTGAATTTTATAGACAACTATATATTATTTTCTATTTCCACGATATATATATCCACCATATGATCTAAGATGCACATATATCTCTCTTTTTGTCTCATTAACGTGGTAATTTGTATGCTTTCAAAGCGAGCATTTAAACCTCTCTTGATTTTTTTTAATAATGATTCAACCTCTCTTAGCTTGATAATGTACTGGATACACAGATTTTGTCATGCGCGCATGTGAGCAAACAGCTAGGAAGTCAACTTTTTCCATGATGTATAGTAGGCAGATACGACATTTTTATTTCTTTACGTCATACTTTTTTTCCAAGGCTAGGTGTGTCATTGTAAAGTTCTCAATGGCGAAGACAAACCCGGCAAACCTGAAACAAAGTTGACTTTTGACATGGTTTTAAATATATCCACAACAATCAAGCTAGCTAGGTGAAAGTTGAATTGAAGATCCTTCGAGGAAATAGCCCAAGTACATTTTATTCAAACCGTGATCTCAAATAAGATGAGTTCTCACACATATGAAAAATATGCCACTTATATTGATTTGAATAAGTTTACATTTCTGATTTGTTTCCACGTTGGAAAATGCTGTGGGTTCTGCAATAGGATAGTACAATTGTAATACACTTTCTTTCTCTCTATATATAGTCGTCTATAATCTCTATACATCCCCTCACTTATATTCAATTGAAATATGAATAATGTTAATGTCTGTCTCAAACTAAAAGCTGTAGAAACTGAGAAAAGGAGAGTAAAGAAGTACAATTCAAGGTAGTAGAAGCGTGGGAACGATGTTGGATTTTTTATAATTTAATCCTTTTAAAAAACTTATTTCACAAATAGACCCTTGAAAAAATTTATCCTAGAAATTATCTTTTTTGGGTGCTAGAGTCACCGGCGCCGTGGTCCACTGGGACGGCGCCAGCATCTCTAGCTCCATCCCCCTGCTACCGTGGTGAGCCAGCACTAACGTGGCAGGGGAGCGTACTAATGATGCTATCACTCCCCCCCCCCCCACACACACACACTATTTTTCTCCTTCTCTAGTGTAGAGGAGAGATGTGCAACTTTTTATTATTTTTCTTTTATATTTTTGATATTTTTTCACACTTAGGGACACACAAGAACCAACGATAGGAAAATTAAGCTCAAACGGATGAAATATGTGAAACGTATAATTTTTCAAAGCTATATAGAAAAGCTTCTCACCTAGAAAACATAATCTTGGCGGAATTTGGAGATTCTAATGTCATGAAATCTGGCAAAGCTAGGGAAGATTGGATGTAAATTTTTCTGTAAATATCCGTGGATATATAATTTGTCTGATTCCGAGTCCGTATGAGAAAGTTACGCACCTATTTTAAGGAAGGACACTCAAATGTAAAAAAAAACTCCACGTACCATATCTAAGCAGTACTAGTAAAAAAAGGTTAAAGGGTTTATAGGATTACGGAAATATAATCTACTAATTGTTTTTGGTATTTTTGGGACTATAGAAAAAACAAAAACAATGAAGAACATGAAGTTTCTTACCGATAAACGGTAAATCTTTAGTGGATTCGAGAATGGAGAGAGAGCAAGAGCAGTGGCGCTCAGGCTCGGGTAGGGAGGGCACGGGAGGGGGGTGCTCCAGAGAGCGCACAAGGAAATAAAAAAGATGGCGCCGTGGAGAGGGGGGCGTCAGCATCATTGGCGCGCTCCCCCTACCACGTCAGCGTTGGCCCGTCACGGTGGCAAGGGAACGGCACTAGAGATGCTGGAGCCATCCCATTGGACCACGGCGGCCAATGACTCTGACACCCAAAAAAGGACCATTTCTAGAATAAGTTTTTCTATAGGTCTATTTGTGAAATAAGTTTTTCAAAAGGATCAAATTGTAAAAAATCGAAGGGAACGATGCATTGTTTGCTAAGGGCATTTACAATAGAGACCACTGCTACTAGTAGTCTCAACCTGCCACATGCCACATAGGATAAGACTATACAAAAGCTACACTACCTACAATGTGGACCACCTCTTGGTATATTTTATCTTTCAACCCCTAATAATTTATGTGTCAGTCCTTACTATATTTTGTATTATCAGATCAATCAGAGAGTTTTGTATGTTGGACCGTATAATAACGAAAGGAAGTACATATACACCCTTAAAATATAATAGACCCACCTTTCAACTACCCATGTAACCCCCCCGGGCGATCGAATGCCGCCGCCCCCTCCTCATCCTACGCCGCCACCCCTCCTCACCCAGCGCCGTTGCACCGCGATCCTCCTCTAGCGACATCACGATTTCCCAACCACAGAAGCCGCCCCATCCAGCAACGCCTCTCCCCTTCAACTTGGGCCATTTGATATGTGAATCTGTCCATTTGATATGTGAATCTGTAGCATAGCTGAAATGTACAAGTACTTTACGAACTCGTTTTGTGCATGTTTACAACGTGTTCCCAAAACCAAACTAGAGTAACGAAGGGTTTTTGGCACAAAGCCTTGACCAACGAAGGGCGTACGTACACTTGTGGCGGCTATAACAGCAACTTTGCAGGCATGTTTTTTATTACCTGCGCGAGCTAGGGAATATGCATGCCCGTAAGTATGAACTAGCTAGTCTAAGTCATGCTGAGTAACACTACTTAAAAATTGAATTTTTGCATACGATCAAAACTTAACGGCCCCATCTTTTCGTTTATGTTTATACTTATCAGCCAAAATTTGAATTTTCAACTTTAAAGTTGGAGTTGATTTTGGGATAGTTTCATTGAATTTATTTTGCATCCTTTGCTTTGATATCGCTAAGAATAAGTATATAAAAGTTTTATTCATAAATTATTTTTCATTAGCAAATATCTCGTTTGGCTGAGCGTTATTTTGTTATGCGGTTGGACCGTCCATCTGCCCAGAGATATTTGTAAAAATCGCTATTTTTTTCGTGCGGTTGGCACACCCGCACATGAAAATTGGATTTTCGCGTGTGGGTGCTTATGTCATCTGCATGCGAAAATAAAAATTGCAAATAAAAATAAAAATATCAAAAATCCCATCCGCTGCCGCTCGTTGTCGTTGTCACTGAAGCCCGGTAGCTCCTCGTCGTCGTCACCCGCAGTCCACCTTCGCTCGTCGTCGCCGAAGCCCTGCAGCTCCTCGTCGTCATCGTCGTCGCCGCGTGGGACAGGGAGCCGCATCTGTCGCTGCCATGCTCCGCACCACCGGATCCACCGCTGTCGAGCTCCCTGCCATTCCTGCTCCCTTGGAAGAGGAGCCAAGGAGCCTCCCGCCGCCGCCCTTCCCCGCGCCTCCACAACCACCGCCCCGCCGTTGGATCCGCCCAAGTCGGATCCGCACCTGATGGATCTGCCGTTTCCCTGCTGCACCTGCTCCTTCGCCGATTGCGTCGCTTCCACGACCCGCGTCGGCCGCTGGCGCTCCCGCCGTCGTCGCCGCTAGCCCGAGCCCGCCGTTGGGATCCAAGTGGAAGTGGGAGAAAAAAAAATGAGTGGTAGAGAGAGATGAAGTTGTGGAAAAATGAGAGTTGAGAGAAAAAAGGTGAGGAGAGATTATGACTTAAAATTTTGAAGATATTGAGAGGGAAAAGATGAGGGAGGTCAGACTTGTAGATGGGCCTTTCCTCTCTCTCTTTCCTCTCTCCCCCCCCCCCTCTTCTGGTCTCGCGTCCCATCTCCGATCTCACTTTGCCTCTCCCGACTCCCCCGCCGCTCCGCGCGCCGCTCTCGCCCGCCTCCGCTTCGCTCGCAGCCTGGCACCGCTCTGCCTGGCTCCGCTTCCGCTGGCCGCCGTCCTCCCTCACTGAAGAAGAGAAGAGAGAAGAGGGAAAAGAGAAGAGAAGGAGAAGAAAAAAAGATGTGCAGCTGACATGTGGGTCCCACGTACTATTTTTAAATTATTTTTTGCTGACTAGGATGCCACATCAGCGAAACCACCCATATATACTTCCATAGGACCTTAATTGCATGGTTTATGTGAGTTTATGGTACACATTTCTGGATTTGTGGTTAAAGGACAAAAAAAAATCTCGCTGTTAAGTTGAGGGACCTCTAGTGAACTTATTCGAAATCAGACTATCCGATGCCACGAGAGCCCAAATCTACCGGGCTGGGCCTTGAGCCTTACTTAAACCCGGAGAGGGAGGGCCGTCGTTGGGTCCCACCTCCTCCGACTTCGCCTCGTCCACTCCACCACGCCGCCGAAAGCCGCAACTCTCCACCGCCGGCTCGGCGTCGGCGTCCGAGACCGAGTAGTAATCCACAGATCTCCTCCTCCTGTTCTTCTCCTCCAAGAAAGAAATCTTGAAAGCCCCCCAACACCAGCCGACCCCTAACTCGATCTCGTCTCCGTATATACACTGATCTCCCTCCCGCCGCGAGTGTAGCAGCAGCTCCGCCGCCGCGGTGAGCACCCCGCACGGCACATCCTCTGGCGCCCTTTTCCCACGCAATTTTGGGGTTGAGTTGAGTTACTAGAGATTTTGGTTGCGACCTAGGGTCCGGGAGTTAGTTTGCGATGCATCTATATGAACAAGGGTAATTGTATATTTGTCCTCTTTTTTGTGTGTGAATTGATACTCTTGAAGATTGTGCCTTTGGTGCATCTTAGATGCAGCAGCTGGTTTAACCATTAACTGATAAAATACCCCCTGATGAATTCTTTTGTCTATTCAGGGACAGAATATCTTGATAACCTAGAATTTCCTTGGATTTGCCTTGCCCCCATAATTGGGATTTGGGAACAAGTCTTGGCATGCCCGTGAGCAGAATATTTTGCAACACTTAAGCAAAGAGTGTTATACAAGTCCCAGTCTTAACATGTAGCTGTAGAGGATAGAAATTGTTCAGAGGAAGTTGTTTGATTATATAATCTGTTGTTATAGTTCTCTGAGTATTGGTTGTGCAATGTGACAGATCACAGATGTAATGAGAACCACCAAACTGAAAAATAATTTTCCTGATTTACTATGTGTACTTTGGATTGTTTTCACGTTTGTTCTGGCTATTTCTGATTTGTTTTGTAACTCTCATTGTAACATTTCTTTCATTTTACTGACAGAGCGATCATGTCTTCTATGGAATCATCTTGCCTTCCTGCAACCACTGAGTCAATAGCGAAGGCTCAGGAAGCTAAAGACGCTTCGGAGTCCATTTCAATCCTTTACCGTGTTCTACAAGACCCGTCATCTTCTGCAGAGGCTCTGAGAACCAAGGAACTTGCAATTACAAATCTTACCAACTACCTCACTAAAGAGAACCGGGCTGAGGAGCTGCGAAACCTTCTAACCCAGCTCAGGCCTTTTTTCTCGTTGATTCCCAAGGCAAAGACTGCAAAATTGTCCGTGGAATCATCGATGCTGTTGCCAAGATAATAGGAACATCTGAACTTCAGATCTCACTCTGCAAGGAGATGGTTGAATGGACCCGTGCTGAGAAGCGGACATTCCTTAGGCAGCGTGTGGAGGCAAGGCTAGCAGCCCTTCTGTTAGAGAATCAGGAGTACACTGATGCTCTTACTCTCCTTACTGATCTTATCAAGGAAGTCAGGAGGCTTGATGACAAGTTGCTTCTTGTGGACATTGATCTTCTGGAGAGTAAACTCCACTTTTCTCTGAGAAACCTGCCAAAGGCCAAAGCTTCATTGACTGCTGCTAGAACAGCAGCGAATGCCATTTATGTTCCACCAGCACAACAGGGTACTATTGATATACAGAGTGGAATCCTTCATGCTGAAGAAAAGGACTACAAGACTGCTTACAGCTACTTTTTCGAAGCATTTGAAGCATTCAGTGCCCTGGAGGACCCAAAGGCCATCTTCAGCTTGAAGTACATGCTCCTGTGCAAGATAATGGTTAACCAAGCTGATGATGTCGCAGGAATAATCTCATCTAAGGCTGGTTTGAAGTATCTGGGTCCTGATGTTGATGCTATGAAAGCTGTAGCTGATGCCTACTCAAAAAGATCTCTCAAGTACTTTGAAACTGCCCTTCGTGATTACAAGTCTCAGCTGGAGGAGGACCCTATTGTGCACAGGCATCTTTCATCTCTGTATGATGCCCTCCTGGAGCAGAACCTGTGCAGGCTGATTGAGCCGTACGCAAGGGTGGAGATTGCACATATCGCGGAGATGATTGAGTTGCCAGTTGATCATGTTGAGAAGAAGCTGTCGCAGATGATCCTTGACAAGAAGTTTGCAGGAACTCTCGATCAAGGTGCTGGCTGCCTCATTATCTTTGAGGATCCCAAGACCGAGGCAATCTTCCCTGCTACACTTGAAACTATTTCGAATGTTGGGAAGGTCGTTGACAGTCTTTACATGAGGTCTGCCAAGATCATGGCTTAATGTCTTTACAGTCATTTGCGTTTACTTGTTATCTCTAATTTCATCTTGCTTCAGTTACTGTTGGTCTTCATAGACATTTAATCCTGCATATTGACATTTTTATTCTGCATGTTGATCTCTCCTAGTTAAAGAAAAGGTACCCTCTTGAATGCCAACAAATACAATTTGGTGTTTCTTACTTCGTATGGTGCAACTGTGCTAGTACCATAAACATAACCTGATGCCTAGGTTATATTTGTTATGTCAACTTATTTTGTCTTTAATGTCAGGCTAGCTTATTTACGATCTTATGATGTTACAATGCACATGGATGGCTATCATTTTGCTGGAAAGAGAGAGATGAACAGGTTGGATGGCTATCATTTTGCTGGAAAGAGAGAGATGAACATGTGAAAATTGTGATGAACTGCCTTGTCAAAGCTTTCCAGAGAGAAACATGTGAAAATTGTGATGAACTGCCCTGTCAAAGCTTCTTTTTGTGATGAACTGTAGTGTCAAAGTTTTTTTTTTCATTTTTACCCCTCCCAAATCCTGTTAAAGCTTCTTTCCTTTTCATTGTTATGCCTCCTGAATCCTGACCATGGCATTAATTGTTACCCCTCCTGAGTCCTGATCATGGCATCCTGATAATACTGAATTTAAACATGAGGCAGTATAGATATAATCTTCCGTGTGTGGTAGTATAGGCCCTATATAATCTCCCGTGTGTGGAGTTGAACAATTTCAGTCTTTTCTTTCCTGCCTTCTGTAAAGGGCGTTTATTATGTTCAGTAAGAAGAATTTCAGTCTTTTCTCTCCTGCCTTCTGTAAAGGGCGTTTATTATGTTCAGTAAGAAGCTTATGAGCCATAGTAGTACTAGTGGGCACCAGCCACCAAGAACTCGCTGGAATTTGATGACTTTTGTCCCGGCAATTTTTCTGGGCATCCATGGCCACTGAATTTGCAGGTTTGCAAGATGTTTCGATCGAATTTTCTTGAGATTTCCACTGATAACCTGAAACGGAGGGAGTATCAAACCCGGTCAGTCGGCGGCGAGTGGTGTGGCGGCGGCGGTGGATGCTGGTCCGGGCTGGGGTTCTACATGCTGCTGCTGCTGTGCCTGGTGCTGTGCGCCATGTTCGCCAACGAGGGTGTCAGGTTGTGGATTCCAGGGACGCTGCTGGCTGCTTCACTGCTCGGCTGCTCTGCCTCAACCTCTTCTCAGGTGGTCAGGTCTTAGGCTATGGACATCTCTGAAGATTTCATCTTTTTTGCAGGAATTTCTTGGCTTCTTGCCAAGTTGCCATTGCCAGATGAGATCATGCATGTGTAGAATGAATGAACATGATGAGTAAACAGTATATTTGTGTGCAGTGCAGTGTTGTTGATCTATCTAACTATGAACAATTAAGCATTTTCATTTTTCATATATATGTTTTTGGCCTTCTGATCAATACATTTGTTTTCTCTTTATATTGTGTTGTCTTCTGAGATAGGAATATGATCCAGGATATGATGGTTATTACTGCTTATTACCACTTGAAATTGGGGCATGTAACTGGCTTGGCAACCATTATTTTTCTATTGTGCAGTACACAGACAGAGAGATGAAAGATTACAGGATATTATGATCCATAGGACTAAGGCCTTGTTTAGTTCCCAACGTTTTTCTTCAAACTTTCAACTTTTTCATCACATCAAACTTTTTTACACATACAAACTTATGTATAAATTATGCAACAGTACACAAGGAGGTACATACTCCCTCCGTCTCCGAATATAAGGGATTTTGACTTTTTGCTTGCACTGTTTGACCACCTTATTCAAAAAATTTGTGCAAATATAAAAACCGAAAAATTGTGTTTAAAGTACTTTGGATAATAAATTTGGATAATAAAGTAAGTAACAAAAATAAATATCGATGAAGGGAGTAGTTCACATCCCAAATGGATAGAATGGAAAGCGCAACCAGATAGCACAGAGTTTGTTCAGCTTTTGAGCCTTAAATATGGACGAAAAAAACCAATTGCACAGTTTGTATGTAAATTGCGAGACGAATCTTTTGAGCTTAATTACGCCATGATTTGATAATGTGGTGCTACAACAAACATTTGCTAATGACGGATTAATTAGGCTTAATAGATTCGTCTCACAGTTTACAGACAGAATCTGTAATTTGTTTTGTTATTAGTCTATGTTTAATACTTCAAATGTGTGTCCGTATACGTCAAAAAAAATTTGGCACACCAACTTTTCGTAAAAACATCACATCAAATCTTTGGACACATGTATGGAGCATTAAATATAGATTTAAAAAAACCAATTGCATAGTTTGCATGTAAATCGCGAAACGGATCTTTTGAGCCTAATATTAGCCATAAGTGCTACAGTAACCCACATGTGCTAATGACGGCTTAATTAGGCTCAAAAGATTCATCTCGCGGGTTCCAGGCGAGTATACAATTTGTTTTTTCATTTGTGTCCGAAAACCCCTTCGACATCTGGTCAAACGTCCGATGTGACACTCAAAAATATTCATTTCACCAACTAAATAGGCCCTAAACACAGCCTTGAGAGCAGCAGCCTCCTCCTGGAGTTGCTTCACCTTGGTGATGTAGTCGCTCATTGCTTCCTCCTTTGATTTGCCTGCGAAGAATGCAAAAAATTCAGTTCAGGAGCACGGAGAAACAGGCAAGAGTATTAGAATGGACAGACAGGAAGACACAGTTATGTAAGGACAGAGAGAAGCATATGGACCTTCAACAGCCTTCCATGCATCCCATTTCGCCCTGTCCCTCTGGGCGAATATGCCAGGACGAGCTTCAAAAGATTATAGAAAAGGAAATACTAAGCAACATCGTCGTGACAAGTCCATATGAAGAGCTGTTGGCAAGGTGAGTCAAATTCATATCAGAAATTGACTGATTGATTAGAAAAGGGACAAGAGGGCAATAGATAGTCAAAATTTGGAAGGAGCAGTGAGATTTTACAAGTTAGGCAAAGAAATACTTTTGTTCTCCCCCTCATTGCAATGACAAATTCAGGTGGGAGCCCCCCCCCCCCCCCCCTGCGGGTGATTTAGTAAAAAAAAAAAGTTATACAAAGAAATAGATAGTCAAAGCACATGTACCATGTAGTAGCTTCTACTTTTCAGCACAAAACCAAAAATATAGATAAAAACTATAAGATTTCACAAACATGTTGTGAAAGGACATAGTCACAGTAGAAGACTGAACATGGAAAGCTATGAAAAGCTAGATGCAGCAAATTTCTACTCCATATCAATTGTTGTAGAGTGCGGGTCAATATCAATTGTTGCAGTCACAAATTATTATAAAAATATGGGGAAGAACCCAATACACCATAAATTTGATGTGAAAGATTCTATGAAAGAACGGTATTGTTTCAAATCAGACAGATTTTTTGGGGAGTGATAAAAAAAAATCTTAGCGATCTATGAGATCTTGTGTTAGGGATCATAATCCATGCCATGTAAACTTTACGTCTCTGAATGAAATCAAACACAGTACGCTAGTAACTCAATAATTGTGCTCCACATCCAGAACATGCCTGAAAAAACAGAAGTAACAACTGAATACTCAATACCAAATATTCGGTATACATACAAGTATTCACATCTCCAACGGTGGCCTGCTTGTAGAGTCCATAGAGGATAAGCTTGTCCTCGTTGCTAGTGCTCTCCGGCAAGGTCTTCACCTTCTCAGCGTACTCCTCAAAATCCTCCTACAATTGGATATCAGACACAAATTGTTAGCAGATCATGCTTCAATCACACTGTCACGCTAAATCTTTCTTCAGAAGTTCCAATCTTAAGCCAATTACACTTCGCAAAGCAACGGAAAATTACAATTCACGGAATAATTGCAGCATCTTAAACAAGAAGGTTGCATCTCATAGATCTTTTGACAAGACTCACTGAACGATGGTTAAAGATTTGATCTTTATAGCGGTATTAAGCGTAGAACGGTAACGTTGGTGGATTGAGAGAGTGATCTGTAATTCTTTATACCTGCAGACCCATGGCGGCTTGAAGGTTTTCGAATTCTTCTCTTCTTGGAATTAACAACGGCGTCGATCAGGAGCGAGTAGATCGGGTCTCTTTTATAGCGAGGTCCTGCAAATGAATAGCGCAAAAATCCCTGCTTTTTGTTCTAATTCAAAGTAGGTCCCTGTGCTAAAGATCAATTTTAATTTTTCAGGGAAGCCCTCAGCATGAATTTTATTAAGAGAGATAAATCTGTTGTCATTTTTCTACCATGCACAAAATTGCATGCTAAAAGAAAAGAATTGACAAAAACTTCAGACAAATAGGAGATATAGTATTTTTTTTCAGCAATAGAAACATGTATATGTCATATATCCCTCAAGAAACTGATATGTAACCGTTCAAGTAAAAAATACAGAGTTGAGAGAGCATGGAGAATTTATTGCTTCATAATTTTTTTTAGGTTGGAGGAGTTGGCTAAAGAAGACATTGGTCTATAAGTCTTAAGGAAGAGCTGATGCACATGTTGTTCTGTTTTCCATAGTTTTGTTCAGCATTTATGATCATCTTGTAAGAGAAGAAACATTTCTTGACAAGGACCAGAAGAAGCATTAGTGTAATGCAGACAGTAGCCAACTGCTTTGGCATCCTGTTTTGAAGAGCAGCAACTATAATAACCTACAACAACTGCTTCTACACCCTACTAATAGCTGTAACATGCAAGGAGTTAAGCTGATCTGGGCCAACTGTCTGTCTTATACTCCCTCCGTCCCAAAATAAGTGCAGTCATGATTTTCCGCGTCCAACTTTGATCATTCGTCTTATTTGAAAAATTTTTGAAAAAAATTAAAAACATAAGTCACGAGTAAAGTATTGTTCATATTTTATCATCTTATAACAACCAAAATGATAATTATAAAAAAATTTCAAATAAGACGAACGATCAAAGTTGTGCGTGAAAATTCATGGCTGCACTTATTTTGAGACGGAGGTAGTAGTATTCAGTTTTCCCATAGCACTCTTCCTACAGCAAATCACTCAGTCAACTGCAGCCTAGATACCACTATATGTAGCCTGTTGAACAATCACTCAGTCACTAGCTTATGCTCAATTCAGTGTGATTGACTCAACCTGCTTTTATATTCAGATTTTCCTCTTTTTTTTTCGTTCTATTTTGTCATTTTGCAAGTCATAGTTGTATGTACAAAGCTAGTGGCCTGTCAACATATATCCAGGTTGTCTGATAAGCTGTTGAGCTGATAAATACAATGTGATGTATCATGTATGATTCGAGTCCGTTGCCCAAAGAGATCAGATCAGATGATGAGCTTCACCATGCGTGCATGGCAAAATCAGACAAAAAAAAACTTTATTATCAATTTTACAATTGCATACATATTCTAGTAAGAGAATGCATCAGTAAAGCCGAAAAGAACGGCAGCAAATCCATCAGTCTTTCTTTTCCAAATGGTGCAAGAGAATAACATCACCTTTCAATCTCTACAAGATTTTAGATCAGATCCAAAGACGCCATGCCACATTACCACTATGCTAGATTGCCAGCACCAAGCAACAATTGATTCCAAGGTCCACAATCCACACACTGAACTTAGCAATCCTTTTCTTAAAACAACTTATTCCCACAAAGCTACCAGCCAAATAGAAACAATGAAATTCCACTCAAAAGGGGGTGAAACAGGATAGCACCTAATGATTGCATAATTTGCACAAATTACAGCAGCCAACTCAAAACCATGCACCATGTAAGCCTTGTCAAAAAGTGATCAGCCAAGGTCAGAGACCAAGCACAAGGTTTTCACAGTAGTCACAAACAACATAACTCTGCACTGTAGGATCTCAATAATCAGTAGCAGCACTAGGAACAAACATGCATATGTTGTACAACATGCCTAATGCATTTTAGCAAACATTCCTGAAGGTGCACACAGCACAGATTAATCAGACACAACACATGGATGGAATTTCATTCGATAGCAGAGCATGCAAATCAGTACCAGATATCAAACAGAAGGGGTATGATGACACCAAAATGATAAGCTGGTCTCTATTTCCAGCACAAAAACAAAATTTAGATTTAGTCCCTGATAGCATCCACTAGCTGCTGAATATAACAAAACAGATACTATGTCCGGTCACTTCACTTCTTCTCTTCCTTCTCTGCCTCAGCAGCCCTCTTCTGGCGGGCACCAACATGGCGCTGGTTCATCCTCTCAACACGGAGCTTAGCATAGGCCTTGAACGCCTTCATCTCATCGGTGACCTTCACAACCTCAACTGAGCGCTTCTCACCACGAGCAATAGGCATGTAGTCACCCTGGACCTGGGTGGCAGTGGCAAGTTCCTCGGCAGTGGAATCACCAGCCTGACAAAAGAGCACAATCAAGCTCATAACCTGATAGTACCTTCAATAACTATATACAAGGAGTAAAGGACAACAAACTGCAGCCATACCTTGACCTTGCGAGCACGCCTTGGGAAGATAACCAGCTTGGCCTTGTATGTCTTGAGCCTCTGGACATTAGCCTGGAGTCCCTCAAGTGAGCGGTTCTTGCGGCGGTGATCCACGGAAATTCCAATGGTTGGAGCATACTTCTTGGGGATGCCCGCAGCCTGTGTTTATAGGAGAACAACATCAGCACAAATATAAAGTTACATAATAAATGCAAGTGTTTTTTTTCTAAATATGTAATGGCAAGAACACACTCAAAGCATTAGCCAATGAAACTAGAATCTTAATCCAAATTTAAATGGCATTCAACACTTAGAGAAGGGGAAGGGGGTTTCTAATCTACTGACAAGACAGTTGCTTATCTAATATCAACAAGCAAGCAGTTCAGATTTAACCAAACAGAGTCCAAAAGGTGCCAGTACACTAGATTGATAAGGGCTACTCAAATATAGAGATACAACAAGAACATCACCTTCAGCTCCTCAAGGGTAAAGCCTCTCCCAGCCCTCGACTTCATGTTGTACTTCAAAGTTTGGCACTGAACAATGGGTCGAAGAGGGCCAGATGTTGGGCGGGGGAAGATCTTCACAGCCTTCTTCTGGCGAGCTGTACAACAAAAGAAAAAAAAAGGATGATTGTCATAAGAATGCACACATATAAGGTGAAAAAAGCGGGCGCAAACATATTTGCTGTGGTTATGCTAGCTTAAAATCTAGCTGATTACTACAATAGTACAAAAATGTTATGTCCATAAAGAAACAAATGATGCTGGAGTGCTTATTATTGTTAATACAAAATGTATGTATATTCAAAACTTATACGGAGCAAAGCCTATTTCGCTTATCAATTGACCATAGATGGTGATAGATTGTCGGAAAGAACTAATCATCTTTTATGGCATACAATATGTGAAAACCAGAAAAGGCGAAATAGCTGGTGATATAACGGAACATTGCAGACAAAGCTAAACTAAACTAACATTTCATGTAGCATTCAATTCAGCTAGATTAGCAATCAACCTTACACTAGACGCAGCAACAGAAGGAGATAACCGTATTTAATTCATAAATTCAAGCACATGCAGTACTAGTGGCAATTGCTAACATAGTCATGCGCGATAGGGAGGCCAGGGAGCTCACCAATGCGGCGCCTCTGCTTGCGGGCGGGCTGGTTGAACCATGTCTTGACATAGTTCTGCCAGTGCTTCTTGAAGTGGCCATTGGGGATAACGTTGTTGTGCTTCACCATTTTCTCCTCCTCTCCTTCTTACCTGTGCGCATCACACAAACACGAACACAAACCTCACATCAGCGACTACCAACAACCCGATATACAGCGGCGAGACCATATGCACGCGCAATCGAGCACATCTACAACTATAGCCTACTACGAAGAAACAGGACGAACGGATCAGCCCGACGTCTGGTCGAGAAACTACGGCGCCGGCACGCGCGGTGGGGAAGCAGAGGCGAACGCTTGCCGGAATGGGGATCGAGAGAGCGAGCGAGCGAGCGGGCGGCGTACCTGCGCGGCGGAGCGAAGAGGAGAGCGACGGCGGCGGCGGCGGAAGGTGGGAGGAAGACGAGCGGTGGCAGAGGGGGGTTTTGGAGTAGGGTTAGGTGGTTATAAGGGAGCCGCCGCCGCGCGCTCCCCAGCCTCCAGCCCTAGATCCGACGGCCGAGATCCTCCCACCCATCGGTCTCACGGTTGATGGGCCGGGAGTGACGGATCGAATAGGCCGATGTGTATGATGGGCTTTTTTAATCGAACGCGTCGGCGCATTTCGTCTCTTCTTTTTTTATTTGCTTTTAGCGATCCCTTCCGTATTTGGATTGGCCGTGTTTAGTTGCAAATTTTTTCTTCAAACTTTTAACTTTTCTATCACATCAAAACTTTTCTATACACGTAAATTTTCAACTTTTTTATCACATCGTTGCAATTTCACCATACTTTTAATTTCGACGTGAAACACACTCAGAATAAAGAGAAGTGAAATCTGTGGGTTCTGACGTGGTCCAGTGGGCGTGACGTGGCGCCAGCAGTGGCATGCGTGCTTCCACGTGGCATATGTACTACAACTTTGCCTTTTCATTTTGTTTTCGAGGTTATCGGCCGCCGTTCTACTCGATATACACACGTTCGTCAAAAATTATTTGTTTTTTTAGCAAAATATTCAAGGGACAACGCCAAGGGGTGGCAATTCCCCCGTTGGGACGAGGGCGGGAGAGAATTCTCATCCGTGGGTGAGTGAAGACGGAGGCCTGCAAAATTCCAGGGATAGGGACGGGGATCGGAATTAACCAGCGGGTGACCTGGAGGGGCCTCCTATCTAAGTTAACTCTCTAAAAGTTTCCCATTGCAATAATATAGTCCCTACAATCCCATTCAAAATTGACATATAAAATCTCAACGCCTTAATTTCCCTCAACCGTAGTACTTTCCTTTCTTCAACCAACCCACATTGTTGGGGCCTATTGAAATTTTATCGTACTATTATTCAGTATATTGCAATACTTTTATGGAGTATTAACTCCATCCAGGTGATGCAGGCCCCGGTCACCCGTGGGGTTCCCTATGAAGACGGGGACGATGACATTTTTCACCCAACTTCCTTTCCAGGGCCGGGGCCAGGGATACCCACATGAGGGTGGGGGCGGGCGCATTTCAACCCAACCCCGGCCCCACCTGTCCCGTTGCCACCCTTTGTCAACGTATTCAAAACGACATCGAATTATTAACACATTCTTATAACTGTACATCGGTCCATAACCAATACTACTCCTTTTATTATTCTTGATCATCAGACATCACTACTTCAACTTTGCCCTTAGTATTTTTGATACGTCTATAGCACGACGAACAAAACGATTAGTGACTACGTTTACACTTTTGATAATACGGCATGATTTAAAGTAATTGTTAAATTTTTGTTAAAAAAAAGAAGAGAAGAAGTTGTCAAACCTTTAATGGTGTGTTTGATAATGGGAAATGGTTGTAGGATTGAGATTGGAAACGAATAGAGGGTAGGTGGGAGATGGAGTATTAGTTACTTCCTCCGTTTCATAATATAAGTCATTCTAGCATTTCTCACATTCATATTGATGCTAATGAATCTAGACATATATTCATTAGCATCAATATGAATGTGAGAAATGCTAGAATGACTTACATTGTGAAACAGAGGGAGTAGAAATTAACCCAAATCAAACACTGTCTTTATGTGGAGAGAGCTACATATCGAACGTCCGACGTTGTAAAAAAAATCGGACGGTCAAATGTTTTAGTTAACCGTTGGTGCAACATTAAGTTATACATGGTGAAACAGAAAAATCATACTTGAAACATATAAAAATTTTGTGAAACACAATTAAAACATATGGTGAAACATATTTCTATCACGTATGAAACAATAAGGCTGTGTTCTTATGTTGAAGTTCCCAACCTCACTTTCTTGTTTACCGCGCACACGCTTTTCAAACTATTAAACGGTACGTATTTTGCAAAAATTTTCTATAGAAAAGTTGCTTTAAAAAAACATATTAATCTATTTCTAAAGTTTTTTTAAACTAATAATTTATTAATCACGTATTAATCCATTGCTCCGTTTTCTGTGTCAAAGGTGAGGGTTGGGAACCCTCACCTAAGAACACAGCCTAAGTTTTTATGGTTTGAACATAAGTTTTTCTTTCATCAGAATATAATCATGTGATATCTTATTGCAAAGATTTAATTATAACGATTTCAACGGTGTGGAAGAAAAAAAGATTCTTAAGATCACTAAATAGTTGCATGCATGCATGCATGGTGTGGGAAGAAAGCTAATAAAATGGTATGAGAGAGAGTAGAGGCACATACGTCTCATACTTTTCCAGAGTGAAGCGTTGAGTTATACGTGGTGAAACAAAAAATTCAGTTACTGAAACATTTAACTTTTCTATGAAACATAATAAAAACTCATGTTAAAACATACTGCTACTGCGTCTGAAACATTAAGCTTAACAGAATGAAACATACAGAATGTAATGATGTGATATCTTATTATAAAGATTTAATTATAGCAAATATAATTGTGTGATCATATCACATATTGCATAAGTAGATCAGAAGAAAAATTATTTTGAAGAGGAAAAAGTACGAATTACCTCCTGAATCATTGGGTGAGTACAAATTGCCCCCCTAAACACGAAAACCGGACGTTTTTTACCCTCAACTATCGATGGATGAAAAACCCCCTCCGAACAGTTTTGCAAGCGGTTTTGGTCTACGTGGTAGTCCAGTCAGCAATTCATTTTTTTTAAATAGGCGGGTCCCATCTGTCAGTCTCCCACCCTCTCTTTTTCCCTCACCTCTCTATATCTCTCCAAAATCACTCTCTTCTCCCTCCCTCACCTCGACAGGAAGACGGCAGGTGGAGTGGGCGGTGAAGGGGACAGCGGCGGGAGGAGCTCAGGGCGGCGGAGCTCGGGGCGGCGGGAGGAGGTTGTGGCAAAGGGCGGAGCTCGGGGATCTTGGGGACGACGGGGCTATGGAGCTCGGGGCAGCGGAGGACGGAGCTCGAGGCGGCGGAGGAGGCGCTTGAGACGACGGTGGGTGGAGCTTGGGGTCGAGGGGGCGGCGCGAGGAGGGGGCGGCGGGAGGAGGGGACGGCGGAGGGCGGAGCTCGGGGCGGCGGAGGGGCGCCCGCAGCCGCCGGTGCGCGGCTAGGGATGGCAATTTCCCTCGCGGGGCCGGGTCCCCTGCGGAGACCCGACCGCACGGGGGCGGGGGCGGGTCCGGTTTTTGACCCGCGGGGGAGGCGGGGGCAGGGCCCCGCATTTTTGCGGGTAGGGGCCAGGGAAGAAAGTTCACCCGCGGGTGACCCGCGGGGCCTCGAAGGGTGAATAGTAAACCTTCAAATGTAGCCCATACAATGCCAAAAAAGGCCCAACCCAACTATTACCAACAAACCCTATAATCCCCATTCCTTATCTCGGCATTTCCCCTTCCCCTCCCGAGTCCGCATCGCATCAGGCAGAGGCGGCGCCAGGGCACGCATCTCCCCTTCTCCTCCCGAGTCCGCATCGTCATCAGGCAAAGGCGGCGCCAGGGCGCACGCTGCATGACGAACGCATGGATCTCGCCGTCGGTGGTCGCCCTCTGCCCCTCTCCCCTCCCCTCATCTCGCCTCCCGGGTTCTGTCCTCTCCTGCTGGCCGGACAGCCGCGGCATCCGGCGCGGGGCTGGCGAGGGGACAGCCGGACAGACGCTGCGGCCGGCGAGGGGATTCACTGTAGAGGTCAGTATTTGTGGAATTGTGGTCCTGTGGAGGTCATGCATGCTTCAATGCTTCATGGATGGTGAATATGTGTTCTTGCTGATATTTTATGATGGTGTGCCAATTATGTACAATATTTTTCTTTGCTAAATTCACGATTGTCTTATACATTTTGTGCTGATTTGATGGAGTTGCTACTCATTGCGGGGCTCCGGTCGGGTTGTGGGGCCCCGCAGGGGCCGGGGCCGGGGATTGATTTGCACCCGCATGTCCACTCGGGGCCGGGGCCGGGTGGAGAGTTCGGGGGTCAGGGCCGGGGCCGTTCCAGCCCAACCCGCCCCCGACCCGCCCTGTTGCCATCCCTACGCGCGGCTCGTCGAGGCAGCGGACGGGACGCCCGCAACCAGCGATGCTTGGGAAGGTGGAGGGGGCGGCGGAGCGAGTCGAGGATGGCGGCGGGCGAAGCCCGGGCAACGGAGGAAGCGCTCACAGCCACCGCCGCGCGGCTCGTCGAGGCGACGGAGGGGGCGTCTGTTGCGGTGCTGCCGTCGGAGCTCGAGCCGTTGGCATTTGAGACGGGACTGCCACGTAAACCAAAACCACCTGCAAAGCTGCTTGGGGGGTTCATCCGGTATCGATAGTTGAGGGTGGAAAACGTTCGGTTTCGTGTTTAAGGGGGTAATTCGTACTTTTTCCTTTTTCCTTTTGAAGATCATTATAACATGTTTGGATCTGTGGAGTGGATAAGGAGGTAGTAGTATGTCCGTCCGATTTTTATTTGTTGCGTCGAACGTACAGTAGAAAGCATTTCCGGAGAAGGTACCGAGATGTTGTAAACTTGGAGAACGATATTTAACTCACTCTTAACATTTTTAACCATGCCACTAGTAGTCTAGTGGAATAGTACATATAAAAGTGGTGTGTTTTAATGTCGTAGTCTCGTGGATATCACTTACGGATGATACTACTTTCTGTAATTAGACTTGCCATTAGTAGTTGGTGAGTAGAATTAAGTATACTGATCACCACCGATCACTTGGTAGTTGGTACTTTCTGGGTTGGAGTTGGACTGTTTCCCACCACCGTCACCGCCACCGCCACCGCCACTGCCACCGAGATCAGATCAGAATCAGACGAGAAGATCCAACGGCCGACATCGCGCGGCGTCAGCACCGGTGACTCGACTCCACTTGGGCTGCGTATCCATTCACGTGTCCGCCACCCCCCGCGCGCGAGTATATCTCAAAGTCCTCAACCCGTCCCTTCTCTCTCTCTCGTCTTCACATCGCTCATCTCCGCCTCCTCCGAGCTCACTGACAGGTGGGCCCCCTCCCTCCTCCGAGTCCTCGCCGTCGCCGCCGTTGCCTGCTCCGACCTGACGGACGGAGAGGCGGCTGGGGCTCGATCGGACGCCGCCGCCACGGGAGGCCGGAGGAGGGGAGGCACGGCGACCGGCGACCGGCCACGGGTGGGTGGGTGCATGTCGACGGCCGCCGCGTCAGCCGCGCGCGGTAGGTAGATGGTGAGCTCGCACTCCCTCCTGGTTTGGATTCGTTTCCTCTCTTCTTTTTGTGTGTGGCTGCTCGGGGATTTCTTAGCTGCTGATGCGGATGCGGATGAGGATGAGGATGCCGTGTGTGCGTGCGCCCGGAGATCTTCTCTCGTTTTGGTCAATGAACAATTGAGAATTGACCATGGGTGGGTGGGAAGAAATCCTAGTGTTCTAACTATTGATCGATCCAATTTGGGCGCACCGTGTTAATCGCGTCTGAATCGAGCATACCCGGATGGAGCTCATAACTTTTTCTTGCAGAATCTGACGAACAGATGCTGGTTTTTAATGGATGTAGGCATTGTAGTGTTCCTCACTTCAGGGTTACCATCTATTGAATTAAACCCTCATGTACTCAATTACTTTTACTCCCATGTGCCATTCAATGTTCTCATACAAAGAAACCAATGAATCTTCAGCTTCCAGTTGCATGCTATTGCTTTCCAGCTCGCCTTCCACGTTGGAAATTGTTGCTTGCAAGTTGTGGTCATTGCTATTTTGTACACTTGGTTATTGGAAATTGGTTCTCTCTTGGCCTGGTAGAAATTTGGTATACTATGTAAAAAGCTATGCTGTTTTAATTCATGTGGGTGTTTTTTTATTCTAGAGGAGATTCATATGGATGTTGAGTTGCGATTATTTGGGCTGTAAGATCTCTTTCAAGCAGGGGGAAAAATCACCTCAGTTGTCGTTGCACCATCCACATAATTTGTTGAATAAAAAATAAACTTCTCATTTAGTTGCTGTCCTTTTCTTGCCACTGTTCATTTCAGCTCTTATTATACCATCCCATAATTCACTAATGAATTCCCGTTTCGCCGCTGTCCTTGTCATGCGACTATATATATAGGAAATTGGATGTAGCATCTCACTTTCACTCTGGATGTCACACTGATATGATGAGCAGAGAATGCTAATCTAATCCCTGGGGTGTCCGTGGTGATTTTCTTATGTCATGTACTTCCACCATGGGGCTCATACCTTGCTATGCTTGAGCATTCTCATAGGGAATTGTTGTTTGCCTCTTTATACTGTGTTTATTGCTGATATCAAGGCTACTTGCCTTGTGTGGTTCGTTTGATGGTTAAATTATTCTGTTATCTGCTTTCAGGTTATTTTTGAAGCTATTGATAGCTAGAATAATCTAGGACTCTTCACTGAACTTATTCATAAGTCAACTTAAAACTCGGATATGACAATTGTTTTGACCGAGTATGTAAATTTACTTAGCTTGACTTTTGAAAAGTTCAATTTATATTTCACATACATGTGTTGCATGGTGAAACAAGGAACATCCAATGGATTGCACTTGTGTTAATTATTATTCTTTCCTATTGCAGAAATTAAGGAACACAGCAATAACACGAGCTAACTCAGCCTGTCTTCCAATGGAGGATTGTGTTGGTATCAAGTACAGCAGTGTCAATGAGGGCGAAGAGCGTAAGGGAGGCCATGGCGTCCCAAAGGTTTCCATCATCCCACTCATTTTCCTCATATTCTATGAAGTTTCTGGGGGTCCGTTTGGGATTGAGGATAGTGTCAAGGCTGCTGGCCCACTCCTAGCAATTGCTGGATTTCTGCTGTTTGCACTCATATGGAGTGTCCCGGAAGCCCTGATTACTGCAGAGATGGGCACTATGTTTCCTGAGAATGGTGGTTACGTCGTCTGGGTCTCTTCAGCCCTTGGGCCATTCTGGGGTTTTCAGCAAGGCTGGGCAAAGTGGCTGAGTGGTGTCATAGATAATGCTCTCTATCCAGTCCTCTTCCTCGACTATGTTAAGTCCAGCATTCCAGCTCTTGGAGGTGGTCTCCCAAGGACCTTGGCGGTGCTTATCCTCACAGTTGCACTTACTTACATGAACTACAGAGGGTTGACAATAGTTGGCTGGGTGGCAGTCTTTCTTGGCGTGTTCTCTCTACTCCCGTTTTTTGTTATGGGATTAATAGCTATTCCCCGAATCGAACCCTCAAGATGGCTTGAAATGGACTTGGGGAATGTGAATTGGGGTTTATATCTAAACACACTGTTTTGGAACCTCAATTATTGGGACTCAATCAGTACCCTTGCTGGAGAGGTTGAGAATCCAAAGAGAACACTCCCAAGGGCACTTTCTTATGCTCTAGTTTTAGTGGTGGGGGGATACCTCTACCCTCTGATCACCTGTACAGCAGCAGTTCCAGTTGTTCGGGAGTTCTGGACGGATGGATATTTCTCAGACGTTGCGAGAATTCTTGGTGGTTTCTGGTTGCACTCGTGGCTTCAAGCAGCTGCTGCACTGTCCAACATGGGCAATTTCGTAACTGAAATGAGCAGTGATTCTTACCAGCTTCTCGGGATGGCTGAGCGTGGAATGCTTCCAGAGTTTTTCGCCAAGAGATCTCGCTATGGAACCCCACTTATTGGCATCATGTTCTCCGCGTTTGGTGTGGTCCTGCTGTCCTGGATGAGCTTCCAGGAGATCATCGCTGCGGAGAACTACCTGTACTGCTTCGGTATGATCCTGGAATTCATCGCCTTCATCAAGCTGAGGGTGGTCCACCCAAACGCCTCCCGACCTTACAAGATCCCACTGGGCACCATCGGCGCTGTCCTGATGATCATCCCACCTACCATTCTGATCGTCGTGGTGATGATGCTCGCGTCCTTCAAGGTGATGGTGGTCAGCATCATGGCAATGCTGGTTGGGTTCGTGCTGCAGCCGGCTCTGGTGTACGTGGAGAAGAGACGGTGGCTGAAGTTCTCCATAAGCGCAGAACTGCCAGATTTGCCGTACTCGAACGTTGAGGAAGACAGCACAATCCCACTTGTGTGCTGACCTGCATATGCATGCCATGAAAGTAGAATCCCCAACCATAGCCATGCTAGACGGAAGGAACACTGCGATTTGCGACTTGTTTCGTCTCACGGCTTTTCAAAGCCTCTTCATCTGCCATGTATAATTAGAAGAGAAGCAAGTTCAAAATTGTGATCATGCTATTTGTATACCATGTTGGCGTCAGGGAGGATTGTAAATCCCAGGGCCAGTTTGAGGAAAATACTTCACTTGGCTATTGCCAATAGCACCTGGTTATTCGTTCATTATATATGTGCTGCTGCTCTTGTTAGAGAGATTCTGAGGACAAGCACCTGGTTTTATGTTTTGCTATCGATATATGCAGGTTCTAGAAAATAACATTGTACAATAAGATATGTCATCGCTATCGAGGTTCAGTCAATTCCATTCCGCTATCCCAACCAGTGTGCAATTGTGCATAGGATTTAAATGTCCAAACAACCAAATTTTTTTTCTTAGAATTGCTTAAATGTCGAAACGGCCAATTTTTTTCTTAGAATTGCTTAAATGTCTAAACAGCCAGATATTCTTTTCTTAGAATTACCCAAACTGTGTGTGTAGGATACGTTCTGCTTCTAAATGTCCAAACTGCAAACTGCCGACTTTTTTTCTTACCAGAATCACCATTTAGGCCAATTTTCCCTACAGTTAGAAAACTTGCTGATTCCTGCACATAGGAAAAAGAATATACAGGTTCCGGTATTTCGGACTGCGATATCGATAAGAGCGACTCCCAGTGTTCCAAACTGGAACTTCCAAAATGCAAAGCAATCTTCAAATAAAAAGTTTTCAAATATTTTCTGTTCTGCGTCTAGAATCCAGAGACCAATGATAAGAATCATTAGGGAAAAATATGATCTGAACAATCTAAACTAGTCTTGAAGAGTCACGCAACATCACCTGCCACCCAACCATCGCCACAGGTAGTCACATTCCATGCAAGATTATAAACGAATAATCTAAACATCAACTGAAACAAAACCGGTTTGCGCTCACAAACAAGATGGGATGCATTTGAGGCTACAAACCAAGATTTGGCATACATATGACTGGAACTTTTGTCTCGGCAAAACTTAGTTTAAAAAAAAATAAAATGACACCAGTACATAGCTTTTGTCCATAATAAAACTGAAGTAACCGACTGTTGCATTGCCCTTACTGAAGACAGAGACCTAGCTAGAACTGGCCAAACTGGAGTTTTAAGAGGGTACTGTCAAACATGCCCAAGGCTTCAAAAAGATGTGAAATATCATCATAAGCTTAAGCCTCAGCGATCAACACCGGAGGGCGCAGCTCCTCCTCCTCCTTGGGAGCATGGATGGTTACAAGATCCGGCAGAGGGGTGGTCGGGCCAACCTTGCCCTTGGGGTCCCAGTCGAGCATGATCTTCACCTTGATGCCAAGAACACCCTGCAAAAGATAATGAACAAGTGCGTTGAGCCAAAAAGATCATGAGGTTTTTAAATACTACGATGCTTGAGTTGAACCAAACAAACCTGTCTCAGGAGCACGTGTCTCACAGCCGAGTCAATGTACTCATTGACTGGCTGACCAGATGAGATCATGTAACCATCCTTGAACTTCATGGACTTGGCTCTTTGGGCCCTGAGCTTTCCACTTACAATGACCTGAATAAGAATAAAGGGATCAGTTCAACTTTAATGTGTGTACAAAATATCACATTTGCACATGTAATTTTTATTGTACAAGGAACTCACCTCGCAACCCTTGGCACCACTCTCCATAACAAAGCGAAGAACACCATAGCAAGCCCTGTCACGTAAACAAACATATTAGAGACAATGACATCTGAAAGAAACATCAGAACGACTTCCGCACTAGCTCACACATAACAAAGCTACCATAACAAGGTGACGTTATAACATGATATGAACCAGATGATGAAGACAACAATTTTCCTTGGATTATCATGAAGATAAGCAGTGTACAAAACAAAGAATATAATAGACTTACGTTAAGCATATATTAAAAGATATTATATGATGTAACTTCATTGAACAAAAAAACCAATCAGACCAAAAACAAGAATGGTTATAGCACATATAATGTGAGATAGAATTAGTAGACAAGCAACAGAAAGGTTGTTCATCTGTGGATCTATCTCAACGGTTGTCTGGCCGCCACTGCTTCAAGAGCAGTACTTTCTTTGTGCACCAGTTTTAACACCCTACCATCATAAAATGAAAGTAGGACTAACTGATTTCTGGTGCAGTCACTATATAAATTCACATGGATTTGCAGCAGAAATAGAATGCTGAATTAATTAAATGACTTGATGAACACACGAAAAGATTGAACAAGATTGCACAGCTCCTAACAAATCTTATCACCAGAAAACAACAGATTCATATATTGACTAGAACTGCCCAGGCACCTACTAACACATCTCATCAACGGTAAACAAATACAATCAAACATTCCATCCTAAATTGTATTGCCACTTGCTAGATTTAACTGTAGAGCATCAAAGTGATCGAATTGTGCATGAAAATGTGAGATAGAATTAGTAGACAAACAACGCATAAGCCATTCATCTGTGGATCTATCTCAACGGTTGTCTGGCCGTCGCCGCTTCAGAGAGCAGCATTTCCTTTCTGCACCGGTTCCAGTATCCCACAAACATGGGCAGGAAGCAGGACAAAACATTTAACCAGTGCAGTACTACAATTCCCTTCAATAGTTCCATATGTCACGAAGATGAATTCATAAGTACTAAGTATAAATGAGTAACCAACTAAAACAACTAGTACGTTGCACCACAAGATCCCATCACAGATGCATCCTCCATGACAACAAAGCGAAGTAGCAATTGAAAGGAGTGCTATACCTGCGGACGGCGAGGCCTCCAAGAAGCTTGTAGCGGAGGGACTCGGCCTGGGCGATGGCGCAGAGGCCGCGGTTGACGACCTTCTCGGCGTAGAGCTCGACGCCGTTCTCGGGGAAGTTGAAGCGCTTCTGCACGACGGAGGTGAGCTCCCTGATCCTGCGCCCCTTCTCGCCGAGCACGTTCTGCGTCCTCGTGGCCCGGATGATGATCTCCGTGCGCATCGGCGTCACGCGCACCTCCACGCCGGAGTAGCCGTCCTCGGCCAGCTCCCGCGTCAGCATCTCGTTCAGCTCCGCGTAGAACACGCCATCGCTCACGAACTACATGAACAAAAACCATCAGATCGAGGAGAATCGAATCGAATCGAATCGAAACCCTGCGAGGGATCTGCACCGTACCTTCTTCTTCTTGCTGATCTGGGTCGCCATGGCTGGTGGTGGAGGAGAAGGAGCAGCGGCTCGCTGCTCCGACGAGGAGGCGGAGGCGGAGGCGGCGGCGAGGAGTTAGGGTTTAGTTGGGGAAAGGAAGGCGAGAGGGGAGTGGCGGCGGCGAGAGGCTGAGGAGGATGGAGAGGAGCGGCTTTATATAGCTGACCGCGGATGGGTAGGGTTTGGGGTAACGAGCTCGCGAGAGGTGGACGCGCGGGTTGGGCCCTCCTGCGAACTGGAAAGCCCATTGGGCTTTGTATGGCATGGCTGTGTAGGCCCAAGTATAATTCTTCCCCTCTTGTTGATGTTTCTCAAGAAGAACAAAGTCTACTTTTACTCTCTCATCTCTTACCCTTGATCAATCACCTCCCCCAAACCGCAAAACAGGGTATAACACCTCCCCCCATATATTTAAAGCCGGTGCAAATCGACTCTTTTTTGTGATTTCGGAAGTGGTTTCTGTAGGTGGGGCCGCATATTTTTGCCATATCTTACTTATGTGTGGGCCCCACCTATAGAAATCGCTTCGAAAACCACCGAAGAAGTCGATTTGCACTTGTTTTCAAAAATGAGGGATGTGTTATACCCGGTCTTGCGGTTGGAGGACGCGGCTCGATCCATGGTAAGAGATGATGGAGGCAAAATAGACTTATTCCTCTTTAGAATCAAGGGCAGTTTTGACTCAAGGGCCATGTCAAATAGTGTGATTTTATGGATGGGTGGATCATGGATGCAAAGTTCTATGAGTGAGTGAATGAATTGGTTGTCCTTAAATTTGTACGCATGCGTTATGTTTGTCCACAAACTTAAAAAATACATATTATACCGCTAACTTGTTAAATGTATCAACATCAATCCAATATTTGATGTGGCATGTCATAGGGAAGTTCACATGATACCTTTGCTAACATGTTAGCGCATGACTATGGTATTGATTTTTTTTATAGAGTCAAATGGTACAAGGATGCTCACGAAGATGTAACAAGAAAGTAGGAGGCAATGGTTTTATACAAATATAGGGTTCGCCTGGTACAAAGATGCTCACAAAGATGAGCTATGCAGTAGGAGATAATGGTTTTTATATGAACCGAGCCTCTTGATGGGTAATACCCATCTATCGTGTTTATATGTATTGATCTATATAAATACTCAAAGTATAAGGTGAAAACCCTAATCTAGTATAGTCTAAATCAACAGGAGTCCTAGCAATGAATCTTAGCAATGTGGAAATGACTCGAGATTTCTCCTAGTGTCGACTTGGGATGACTTACGTGTTTCATGATTCGAAATATGTTTCTCTTCGTGGGAGGTGATATCTTAAATACTCTCTATGTGTCACTTTATTTAGGTAACTTAAGAGGCATGTTAGAAAATGCCTTGAGTTTATCGTATTAGCATTTTAACAAAACATGGTATGTGCAAGAGCATGCGATAGAGCTATTGTGGAAATGAGGTGGGTTAAAATTTTCACAAACAATTTCCAAAAAGATGGAGAGATAGAGAGAAAAGGGGTTGAACATGTTGGAGCTACCAGGCTGCCTGTGGCTTTGGTTGGCTAGATCAAACACCGGAGTTTGTCACTGAAAGCCGATAACCCAACCAAATTTAGAAAAACTTAAACAAAATTTTGAAACTTTTAGTAAATATATTGTCCGATGTTTTCCACTACCTACCATCATTAGGCCTTGCTCGGTTAATCCCCATGAGGGAGGGATTGGAGGGGAATAATTCCACACCTAAACCTTAAGGGTAGGTAAACCCTAGCTAGTACTCCCTCCGTTTCTAAATATTTGACTCCGTTGATATTTTTAAATATGTTTTACCATTCGTCTTATTAAAAAAATTAAGTAATTATTAATTCTTTTTCTATCATTTGATTCATTGTTAAATATACTTTCATGTATATATATAGTTTTATATATTTCATAAATTTTTTTAATAAGACGAATGGTTAAACATGTGTTAAAAAGTTAACGGTGTCAAACATTTAGAAACGGAGGAGTACGCTGAACGCAGCTAGGCAGCCATGGCCGTGTGTTCGAAGGAGGGGGATGACTTGTGCTCGTGCGCTAGAAGCCTGGAACAAGAAAAGAAAATCGCGACGGAGGAATGAAGAGCAAAGTTGCTACATCCGTCCATATCACGATCTGTGCTCCAGATCTGCTGACCTAACACCACCGTGCATTAGCTTTTTGATAAACACCATTAAACTATACCAAAGGAATGAACTATGAAGACAGATAGTAGGACAGATAATCCAAAGTTTTTACTTGGCAACCTGACACCAACATTTCCATATCAGAGTGACTCAAGATTTTTTTACATAACGACTGCAGATGATTCGATGATGAAGTATTCTCACCGAATTGGTCAGATGAGGTTCAAACAGAGCATAACTGTCACCAGTGATAACAAAAACAGCTCAATTCCAAATTTACAACAGTGGCGCAAAACACCCTAGCTATCTTCTCCAATTGGCTATCCTCTTTTCAGGGAGCGGGGCCGCAGGAGTTCTCTGCCATTCAAAACAAGGAGAAATGAGTTTCATTAGGATTACAACACAGCAAGAAAGCTGAAATGCTGTTAGCTGCAACAAGGTGTCAATTGCTGGATAACCTAACCTTTCTCAATCGACAATGTTGCAGATGTGTCCAATGGCTCCACAGCTTGGCGACCTAAACTTTCTAAAGTTTCTTTGCTCACCTCATCAACTTGTTCCAAGAAAGTCTTAAAATTGTCCTTGTAGCAAGTAAACTGAAGAAGGATTATATTAGCAACCACACATTCTTACAAGAATCACAATTTTATCAATGATTACAGGAAATAGTCCTCTAATAAAAACATACGGCATGTCCAATTTGTTGAAATTTAGCATATATCAGCCGCAGTTCTTCTGCAGCATCAGTCCTTGTTGAATCAACCTCCGCACATAGTTTAGTAGCCTGTAATGATAGAAAAATATGTCCACTGTAGTTGAAAGAGGATCATAGTATTAACAAATAAGATAATATAATCTACAGGCTTTAGCATATTCGAGAGATGGTCAGGCCAGTCAGCATGTGTTCCTGGACCAACACTAGCGCGTATAAAGAAGCCTTTTTGGAACATTAGATTGTATTAGGTGGCATGAGGCATGTGAACACCGGAAATCAATGATTCTGAGGGAAAAAAAGTTTTCAAAGACATTGAGTTTGAACCACCCAAAATTTCAGGACGAAATCATCACCTTTGCAATTGTTTCCTCTACTTTCCTTTCACGAGGTTCAAGACACTTGAGTTTCCATTCAACTTCAGACCTCAAAGCAGCCAGCTTCTGATTTTCGTCTGCTACTATTTGATCCCTTTCTTTTTCTTTAGCTTTAACACGCTCCTCCATTTCATGCACTAATCAAAAATGTATTCATGCAATAACGTGAGGAGAAAGAGTATTTCAGAATGGAAAGAACATACACAAATTCAGCAATACTACAAAATGTAAGTACAGTTTGACAACCTTTCCCATCCCATTCAATAGTCTTTGTGTCAAGGGCCATAATTTCAACACTTTCATCACTAATCTTAGCTTTGCGCGCTTTGACTTCTTTCTCAAGGGCTTTAGTTGCAGTAAACTAACAGCAATAATAAATAAGAGAGTTAGTAGGGTTTCATCTTAAGATTAAGCCAACTCCATAATGAAAAACTAGCATTGCAGATGTCCAGACCTGTTCTTGTAAAGCCTGGATTTTAGAAGAATGCTTCGACAATTTTTCATAACCCTGCAAAATGGATACAGCATCTGCAGTTATTAATGGATCAGTAGGTCAAGCATCACAAGGAACATCAGTAAGTAGCCAAGTGCCACTCTTGCAACAAGTCAGCCCCAGCAACTGCAACAAACGGATGATCCAGACAATACAGTGGAATATCAGGAAATTGAATCAATACGAAGCAGATGAAGTAACCCTATATTTGCTAGATATTGTTACAGCCAATCGGCAAACACAAGTTACCTTCTACCTTGGGTGTGTTGTAATGAAGAGTGGAACAAGAGTACCTTACTGTATATCTCCAAAGTGGCAGTTTTCTCTTGTACACTTTGCATTGCTATCTTCTCAGCATTCTTCAACTCAGCACGAGCTGTTTTCTTCTCTTCAAGGGCCCTCTGTAATACAAAATAAAATCCAAAACTTAATAGTGATGCAAACTTATAAAGATAATTTATATGCTGTTAGAAGAACAAACTAGTGAAAGTGTGTCCTCGAGAATCAAGACAGAGCATCTGGCAATAACTGCAACTTTTTAATGAACAAATAATATACAGAGTATATACAAAGTTCTACGGATTTGGAAGAATGTCAGTTGTGCATGCAAAAATGATAGTATTTACATTGGATTTCAATTTCCCACAAACTTTTGGAAGAGTTTTAGAATGGTAAATGTTCAAATGTCCCTTTAATATCAGATTACATGAAGAAAATACAAAATACGTAGATTAGCACTAAAAACTAAACATATAGAAGACAAAAACCATTGCGCACAATCACTAGAAACCACCTATGACTGTGGTGAAGTAATTTAGGTATTTAAACAAGACTGACCATCCTGCCTGCGGCAATAGAGAGAAAAGAGGAATAGATCGAACCTGAAGCTTTTCTGGGGACTGAACAATTTTTGACAATAACTTGGAATTTTCTTGGGCTAGTTTCACCAACTCAAAATCGCTTTTGGCAATCTGTATAAAGAAAATAATGAGGCGTTTAGTGAGAAATCGTCTTTTCTGCATATCGGAAATTTCAGCATGTCAGCGAGACCATTTCAGTGTAGCTTAACATATGTCAAGAGTAAATGATAGTATGTTAGAATGTAAATGGGTGTTCCAAACTATTTTTCAATCCATTTATACACAAAGATCATCTTGTCCAAATGGCAAAGCTGTAAACCTTCTGGTTTCTATCCCTATTTGACCTGGAGCGCTTCTGACATTTCTAACCAACACAAATATAGAGCTGCAAAGTTATATAATAAAGTCAGAAAGTTGGACACTCAGACCTAGAAGAGCATTTGGCCTAATATTACAGGGCCAAGTGAAACTTGTAGCACTGTATAGTCAAAGCGGTAAGTAGGATTGAAATGTAAGCACCACCTTTCTGTGGGTCTCCTCTTTCTTGTCATTGATCGCAGTGGCGTTGGCCCTCAGTGCCAGCTGCTTTTTGTTGTACTCTACAAGTTTTTGCTTCAGGGAATTGACCTCCGCCTCTAGCTGCTGAACCATAGGCACCTCCATTTGCGCGGCGAGCTCTTGATCGGCGATTGCCTTCTGATGCTGTACACAGGACAGAATCAAAACAAAAGAGGTAAGTTAAATTGTATATTCCCAGCTAGCAATTCTTTACCTCGAGGAGGAAAGGTGGGGGAGATTGTGGTGCCAGCAGCATCAAACCTCGGCAATCTTGGCATTGAGCTCCATGCACCGTTCATCCAAGTTGGGGAACTCATGGATGATGGGCTGCAGGAGGGCGAGCTTCTCGTCCCTGTAGTAGAGGAAGTTGATGAGGGCGCTGAGGACTTGCACGAGGCGGCGCGGGTCTGGGCGGAGGAGGTCGCGGAGCGTGAACCCGGGGAACTGGATGGACTCGAGGAAAGCGTTGGCCCTCTTGTGGAGGCGGAGGACCCGGATGCCCTCCCTATAGTGCTCCGGGTTGTCGAGCGACGCCAGCGCGTCGAACCCTAGCTGCCCGTCGAGGTCGTCGGCGCTGCAAAATCACCCCACCCCCCACAACTAGTAGAGATCAGCAACAAACACCGAGCGGGCGGCGCCGGCGAGAGGGAGGGGAGGGGAGGCTCCGCGCACGCACCCGGTGGGGTCGACGACGGTGGCAAGGAAGTTGGAGATGACGGCGGGGAGGAGATCCGGCTGCGGGTTGGCGATGTCCTCCGCGCGGAGGTTGGCGGTGGGGGCGAGGCCGTAGGTGTGCAGCGCCTCCGCTATCTGCTCCGGCGCCAGCGGAGGGAACGAGAAGTTGGACGCCATCTTCTTCTTCGCCGCCGCCGTCGCCGCCGCAGCCGCTCTCTCGCCGCCGCCGCCGTTCCCCCAAATCAACAAGGGAAACCAAATGCGAGGAATTTCGAAGGCAAAAAAAAAAATGAAATGCGAGGTATTTGCTCGGTTTCCCGCTTCGTTTTCCCGCTTTGCGGAAGCGGAAAACTCGAGAGCAGATGCGGCGCTTGGGGAGAGTTCTGGGCCCAAAGCCCATACTCGTGTCTAATCTTCTCGATAAAATTTGGCCCAGCCCAAGGTGAGGCAGCCAGTTTCCACTTTCCAGCCCGGGCATCGTGTAGATTGGACCAGCCCACCGAAGCAAAGGGCATGTTCTGATTGTAGCCAAAATAAACCTTATCAAATTTGGTAAGTTGGTAATATTATCAAAAATGTTTTTTGAATGAAGTACTACCAAACATTGGCCCAGTAGTGTATTTTATAAAAGCCAAAAAATATTTATAGGAAAAAAGAAAAATTACAAAAGGCTACGGCCTCCCATGAAAACTATAAAGTTTGTAACCAATTAGAAACCAAACCAGTTGTCTAAGCTCATCATTCATTCTATACATATGTAGAAGAATCTCATGCTTAAAAAAATTCTACCAGCTGTCAAAAGAAGGATCTATATTCTGGAAAATCTTTCCATTCCTCTGCTTCCAAATATGCCAACATGCAATGAAACAAATCTCCAAGAATCCTTTTTTTCCGAAATCTCAATCTCGCTAGCACCAGCATCTGAAAGAATTCCAGAGAAGTGTTCCAAGCTATTCCTAGCTTCTGCCAACATTTTCTGCTAAAAGGGCATTGAAAGAACAGGTGAATATTATCAAAATTTTGGTAAGATTTCTTATGTATTTACCAAATTTGGCAACAAAATAACTGTAGACATTTTTTTGGCAACTTTACCAAAAAAAAATTGTATGGTTGATAATGGCATCAATCTAAACAGCCCCAAAATCTTAAGAAATTTTCTTGAATTTAAGGATTTTTGAATCTGTCCATTTTAGCTCGGAATTTCTCGATCCAAGTCAAGCGGATACCACCAGGTCCATACTCAATAGGGAATCGTGGAGTTGAAGCCCTATCAAATAGATCTTTTATAATGCTAACGATCTCATCGCCCATCTCTCCAGAACTAGCAAAGGTTGAGATTTTTTTGCTGAGTCATATATTTGTTTGAAATTTCATTGGACTCGAGCAAAGGTAGTGATGGATGTTCTCATCACCTTTGAGGAACATTGGCTCATCGAAGTCTTATAAGCGGTCGATGCTCAATCTGATTGAAGCCCTCAACATGGTTTTACTGCTGCAATGGTAGGAAATGGAAGACATATCTAAAATCTAGCCTACCCTAAGAAGTCAAGGAACTAGATGGCAACCATGAGATTGGTGCTTAAGTTGGAACCCGAAAGAGGAGTTTGAGAACAAGAAGATCTACGAGTCTGGCAAGATGTAAGAGAAAAAAAATGCACATATGAAAGGAGATGATAGATACCATTCTTTACCTTGTTCCACATAAGGGCAACATGGATCAATACAAAGCCGCGGATGAATTGTTGTGGAGCAATATCGTCATTGAAATACACCATGTCCTATTCGTCGCAAGATATGTAGTCACCATTGATGTGCAATCACACAAGAAATCACGAAATCCGGGAAGCCAGAGCTTTGAGCGTGATAGATCCAAGCATCCGTCCTGGCCAACCACCGATGATGCCAAATTCGTCGCTTACAAGACTAGCCACTGCTAGACTTGTTGCTGCCGAGCTCCGTGACTAGTGCAAATGCCTTCCGGCCACTTTATTATGCGTTGGAGCTCCAAATTCATCAATTGTATCGCTCATGACGTCCATCACCGTTATATCCATCGCCTCTAAGTTGTTTGAGCGCTTGATCCACCGCCTCCAAGGCTGACCATCATTGCCACCGAGAAATCAAGGATGCGATAGCAATGCTGTTACCACCACCACCACCATCCACAAACATCAACCACCTCTTAGCCTACTAAGAAGAGGCTATATAAAAACTTATAGAAATAAAAGTTATAAGAGGTTACTACCACGAGATTGGCCCATCAACGGGATCAATCCGATAACATGGGCGACCCCCTTTCTCCTCACCCGTGACCAGAAGTCATCGAAACCGAAGGACAAAAGAGAAAATAAGTCTAACATGGGCGACCCCCTTTCTCCCACCCATAACCAGAAGCCATCAAAACCGATGGACAAAAGGGAAAAATGAGTCGCCTACAAGAGCATAGGTTATAACAAAGAAGAGATGGCTTTGCCCTCCGAGCACTCCAAGAGATGACATCTTGTTCCAGCATAATCTAAACTTAGAAACAAGATGCTCCTTACTATTGAAGAGTTAAATAACGACAACTAAATTCTAACCAGCTAAGTGGAGTTTAATAGAATAGTGTTGCATATACGACTATACTGTACGGCTTCGTTTCAATTAACATAGGAGATGGGGTTATAAGCTGTTGTATTTTAGTCATACAATTCAATTATATAGCGTTATTGAGTTTGATATCTCGAAATTTAGTTTCTTTGATAGTACATAATCCTGCCAGTCCAAAATAAGCGGTGATGATTCTTGATCCACGCCATGCCATGCTATGTGCACAACTGTAAATAGTTGTACAGCAGTAGCACATGGACGGACGGATCGGAGGAGGAGAACAGCAAAAGCAAAAAAAACACAAACCAAGATAGATCTTGATCTGACCCGGGGGGAATCTCCTCGGGGGTCCGTGACCTGACCGAGATCGATCATGGATGCCAGCCAGGCCTCCTCCTCCCATCCACCGTCCACTCCCTCCATCCGACGGCCCAGGATCCTCCTCCCTGCGCCCCGCCTCCCCCATCCTCCGCCTTGACGCGCAGACGCTGCTGCAGCATCAGCAGCCGCGCGTGCGTGCGAATCATTCCGGCCGCAGCCTACCTCTGCCTCTCTCCTCTCCTCGCGGCGTCGGCAGCGAGTTCTCCTCGGATCGGGAGTGGAGGAGAAGCGGGAGGAGGAGGAGGAGGAGGGATGAGTCTCTTCGGGCTCGGCCGGTGAGCTCTCGCGATCCCCGACCTCGAACCATCCACTTCATCTTTCTCCTCTTGTTCAGTAGTAGTAGTAGTAGTAACGTTTTTGCTGGGAATCGGCGGTGGTCGGCGAGATCTGGGGCCGCCGGAATTGGGGGTTTGGCGGCGGATCCGTCGACGGAGTCGGTTCTTGCTTGCTTCCTAGTAGCGCAGCCCTAGAACTAGGAGTAGCTGGTTTCGTCGCCATGGGAGCTCCTGCTATGCTCGATTTCCTTTCCGTAAGCTCGATTTCTCCCACGAAAGCAACACCGGTGCATCAGATCGTGCCCAGCTGTGTGCAATTTGATCTGTGTGTTAGCTAGCTGCTTTAATTCTGACGCTGCTACCCTGATGAGCTTTTTGTGTCTTTCTGTCAGGAATCAGAAGACGTTCCGTCCCAAGAAGAGTGCTCCTTCAGGAAGCAAGGTGAGAATTTCCACCCAGTTTGTTTTCCTTTGGTAATTGGTACGAAGCGAGAACAAATTTTGCCGAATTTTACCAATTTAGGGTGTTCCAGCATGTATCACGTGACCTGTGTACAAACTGCTGTGCTTTGGTTCAGGCCATCAAATTGGGTCTTATTATGACTAGGTGTTGAGTTCTCGCCATCTCTAGCTTTGCCACTGGAGAAATATTAGTCAGAGCTAGCATAATTCATCCGACGAGGTTAAATTCAGGATTGTCACTGGATAAGTATTAGTCAGAGCTAGTATAACTCATCTTGTGAGATTAATTTGAAGTGCATGATAAAAATGGTTTGGCGATCGATCTTAACTGACATTAAATATTCTCTCCACTAGTGGACAAGAAAGAGGTGTCTGTTTTGACTTTGTCATTGCCGTTTAGTTCCCATTTGAATGTTAAGCAATGGTCATCCCACTCTTTTGGCATTCCTTCTGGCTTTTTTTTTCTTAATCAACATGTTTACTGTCTGTTTATTTAAGAGAAAAACAGTTTTAACTTTTTTTATTCAAAACTGGCCAAAATAGGTTTTAGCTCACTGTTGTCACTTCTTAACGACCATTGCAAAGCACTCATAACATTTTGGCACATTCAGGATTCAAGAGTTGACTTCTTATATATCACATCCTTTGCTTGAGAAGTCTTAAATATCATGTTGTGTAGTAGTTACCTCATTTGACAATGTATGGCAAACGATGTGTTCTCCAAAACCATTCTGTCTCAGGGCGAAGCTTGCTTTATACGTGTGTCAGTGCACTTGAGAATGTTAGTCAATTTTATTATTTTAATTGTTTGATTGGTACAATCTTCACTACACATCCTGGATTTGTAAACCACCTCAGATGGGCGCATGTTTTGGCATAACTATATTTTACAATTAAACTTGCTACAGAAAATTATCTCTGTAGCCTTCTTCATCAGAGCAGAACTTGACACAATGGCACAGAGCTTCAATGTTATACATGCCATTGAACGATTCCCTTTTGATCTGCAGGGTGCACAGCTTCGGAAGCACATAGATGCCACTCTTGGCAGTGGAAACCTTAGGGAAGCTGTAAGGTTGCCGCCTGGAGAAGATATCAATGAATGGCTGGCTGTGAATAGTAATGTTCTTCCCTTTCATTTTCCACCTTGATCCATTCTTGACATTTTTCATCTGATTTTTATGTTTGTAATTTATTGAATAGCATAACTTGCGGTGTAGGATGCTACTTAACCCAGTTATTTTCAAGCTAACGCATATCTTTTCCTTTTCAGCTGTGGATTTCTTTAACCAAGTTAACCTGCTGTACGGCACACTCGCTGAGTTCTGCACACCTGAGAGCTGCCCAACAATGACTGCTGGCCCAAAGTACGTTATTCCATCAATCTTATTTTTTGGGCTTGTAAAACAAAAACAAGACAAAAGAAAATCTTATGCAAAGGAAGTTTGTTAGTGCCTGAAGGTTCTGTAGCAGCATATGTAAACTTCTTTGTAGGACATTATGCATAAACTGATCTACCACTTTCTGTTTAGAAGCTAATATGTAGGAGTAGATGATTACCTTATCATGCTATAAATATTTTTTATTCTGTTGGCAATGTTTTTCCATTATCTATATCAAATATTAGGGCATTTAAGCTGAGGATTTGGATTGGTAGTTTGGAAACATTGGTTCACGAAGTAACGAATGCCTCATGGCTGCCTTTTTTTTTTGGAACTTTGGCCGCATGACGGGTCCTTTTTGGAACAAAAATTTCCAAGAACACTTTGTATTATACCCCACCTATTATAAAGTGACTTTGTATTATATCCACCTATTACAAAGTGGAGTTGTCATGCCAACAAGCCCCTGATTCATTTTTTGTACAGAATTACTTAAATATTGGTCATGTCATAACAAAGTAACAACAGAAACATGGAATTTATGCAGGTATGAGTACAGATGGGCTGATGGTGTACAGATAAAGAAGCCGATAGAAGTATCAGCACCAAAATATGTGGAGTACCTAATGGACTGGATTGAAGGCCAACTTGATGATGAATCTATATTTCCCCAAAAGCTTGGTAATCATTGTTTATCACAAATATTTGATGTTGGAATGGTCGTTTGTACCTTAGAAATAGTGCAGGCACTACTCATATATCTGTCCAATTTTGACACTAATGACACTGATCTGGGTTTAATTCCTTTACCAGGCACACCATTCCCGCCAAACTTCAAGGAGGTTGTAAAGACAATTTTCAAGCGCTTGTTTCGTGTTTATGCCCACATATATCACTCCCATTTTCAGAAGATTGTCAGCCTCAAGGAGGAGGCCCATCTTAACACGTGCTTCAAGCACTTCATCCTGTTTACAACTGTAAGCCTCCTGTGTTTGTAGATTGTAAACTCGTTACCAGGATTGTTTACATATCATCTCATATTTGCTCTTGGTTCATAGAAATCGGGGGAAAACAAAATTCATTTGTTTCCGGCCTTTTGGTATGTGGTGCAGGAATTTGGCCTGATTGACAAGAAGGAGCTGGCTCCACTCCAGGAGCTCATCGAATCGATTATTCCATACTGAGAAGAATACAGGGACGGAACGGAGCGTGGATAACGAGTTCTTTACATGGACGATCGAGGAATCAGGCTACTTGCAACACTATTTTACTGGCATAGAGCTTACTGTTCCAGATATCAGACATAAAAAAGGACATTTGACATTGCTAATGCTATGTTTTTTGTGTACTGATGTTCGTTCGTCCTGATTCAGTATTACCTTGTGTAAGCGTGCTTGTAATGTAATAACAGGATTGGTGGATTGGGATATATTGCAAAGAACGATCTATTAATCCAATCGTGAGTTGCAATTGTTGCTTCCTTTTCCCAGTACCAACGGGATATTCAATTGTTTAGAGTTAATTTTATCAAGATTGGGGAATGAAATGTTTGGGTTAATTTTATCATGGTTTAGAGTTGGCACTAATCCAATCAATATGTAATACTAGCTGATACAACGAAGACGCCATAGATCATACTAACTGGGAGAATGGCATCAGAATTTCAGATATATTGCATACCACACACAGCCCGCAACAATCGAGATAAGGGAATGAAATGTTTGGATTAATTTACCATGATTTTAGAGTTTGTAGTAATCAAATCAAAATGCCATAGATCATACCAACTGGGAGAAGAATAACATCATAAATTTCAGATAAGAACACACGATCATCAAGCACCACGAGGCGTGGCAGATGGAAGCAGAGGAGAAGCTGTTCCTACTTATAAACACTATAATTTTCTGGAAGCGGATCGGCCGATCGGGTGGTGGTGGATGGTGTTGCTAGAGCTAGACGCGGCCCTCCCAGAGGCATGGCTGGTCGTCGGAGCAGAAGGCGATGACGGCGGGCGGTGGGGCGAGGCCGAGCGCGGCGGCGCGGGTGAGGCCGAGGCAGGGCCCTTAGCTCCTTACCGCATGTCCATGTCGAACTCCCGAGCCATCCTCTCTCGCCCCTCATCCTCCGCCTCCTCGACGGCGCGATCTGTCGTCGCTGAAAAAAAAAAAACCCGAACAATCAAATCAGCGGAGACGCAATCGATCGAACAGTTTTGGGGCGGGAGAAACCGGGAGGAAAAAAGCACCCTGCGACGCGGGCGCCTTCTTGGAGACGCCGGCACGCCGCCGGTGGGCTTGACGCTGCCGGAAGGACTTGACGTCGCCGCCGCTCCTCATGGGTCCGGTGGACTCCTCTCTCGATGATCTCTCTGGATTGTTGCGGCGAGGTAGGATGGATTCGGGGGAAGGGGAAGGGGAAGGAGAGGGAAGTTTATAGGGTTAAGGCGTTGGGTTGGGAGTAACTCAGGAAGGGGGAGGGATTTGCGGCCGTTGTGACGGCAATTTGAATTTTAAAATTTGAAAATGTGGGAGTCCCGGGGTGTGAAATCCAACCGTCCACCCGTGTCGTCCCAACAGGTTCTTGGGGGTGCAAAACGTCTGTGCCAATGTGCGAATTAAATTTGAAAATATACTTTTTTTTTTCATAATTTATGTTTATATATATGGTGGTAAGTTTTAGCAAAAATATACCTCTTCCGCGAAAGGGCCTGTAGCTTAGTGGTTATAAGAGCCTCAGTAGCACGCTTTCAGTGGTAGGCGACTCTGGTTAGAGAGCCTATTCGTCGAGTTACAATAAAAGGAATGTTACGAAACAAAAGAAGCGGACTCAAATATATCATATAACTCATATTCGTAGAGTTTATCATTGGTGTAAGCTTCAATAGGTTAGTGCGCTTTGCGAATTTACATGCCTTATCTTGTGGTATGAACTGAGTACGCGATAATTTATGGTGTGTATTGGGGGCTTACCATAAGATAATGTCGTAAATTCGCAAAGCATTCAAACCAACTGAAGTGTCGTGTAAAGGTAAATATTTGTAAGTGTTCGTAAAGGAAAGGCAAGTAAATATTTCGAATTTATTTATTCAGAAATGTAGCTGACACATTAGAAAGTTTTAACACACAACATTAATGATTAGTTCGAATGAGCAAAATATAAAATCATTATACTCATTAGACTCATCATCGAAATTTCTTGATGTGCTAATGTCTTTTTTTCTTTCCTTTTCTTCTAGCACCAGTTGGAGGCCTGCGTCCTGACAACAATAATCTTTCCGGTGAATGTCGCTCGCGAACAGACCTACGTGCCACCTCAACACCGTTGAAATCAACGTGCCCGTAGTCTTGGGTCAGCTAAGTTATTGGAGGAGGTTCATCAATCTGCGGTGGTCCTATCTCGTGTTGTGCTATTGACGACCCCCCACTGTAGCTACATGGTTCTCCATAGGATTGTGTATTGCCGGCATATCCCATCATTTGGATGGCGGAGTACATTCCTACAAAACATGGAATCCAAAGTTGTAGCGTACACACATACTGTTATAATTTGTACTTGTTTTTTGTGGTTGCATGATAGGTGGTTGACTGAACAACCAATCTCCTTGGCATAACATCTCCAAAAAGCTTGGTCCTTGTGGTTGTGCGTTTCCATTTATGAACATTTGGTACATCCCACTGCAGGTGCAGCGCTAATTTAATATCGCAATATAAAGATCGTAAAAAATGAAACACATTATATACGAATCAGTGTTGTATGTGGAAGCTCTATGCCACTGATCATTCATACCCGTTGGAAACATGGGCATGTTAACTTGAGGTACACCTGCAAAAATAAGCAAATATGTTTGTGACTCAGTAAGTTACAAAATAATGAACATTAACATGTGTGTTTATTGAACTATCGGAAAACGTTGCGTGCCCTGGAAGGAACTGCAAGCTTCCATCTTCTGTACGCATCGGAGGAACCATTTGGCTGGATTCTACAAACCACGCAAACCCTTCCTGCCATTCACTGGTGGCACTTGCATGTGGAATGTATGCATCGGAGGAACCATTTGGTTAGATCTGAGAACCACGCAAACCCTCCTTGCCATTCACTGGTGGTACTTGCATGTGAAATAGAAGGGATCACTGTTGTACTATATGCAATAATCTCTATAGGTGAATATTGAATTCAAAAATAGCACTAGTTGATCCATGTCAGCAACAAAAGCAGGAACGTCCGATGGAGAAAAATAGTAAAGCTTGGTTTTTCTGGAGCTTTTCAACGCCTGCCTCACATGTGTGAGAGAGCAAAGAAAACAAAAAAAATCATAGGGAATAGAACTAGCAATAGAACTATAGAAATAAAAGGCTTTTTCCAAGCAATCCATGGTCCCATACGACACATGACAGTAGAAAGGTTTGCAAAGTTCAGAAAACAAAAGGCAAAACCACCTCCTAATTTTGATATATTCCAAAAATTAGTGTGTATTGTACTTTTAAGTCCCTAGATTAAATTAGCATTGGATACAACAATTAATTCTATAAGTTCGGCCACTTGTACTTAAAAAAACTATGCACGAGAAAGAGCTAAATTTTTGGACGATTTTCATAATAATACGTAGAGCTTTTGGTTTAATTTAGAGAAATGTTACCATAACTATAATGATTAAAAATAATTCATGCACCTAATATAATTCATATGTCTTCATATACATAGCTTATAATAGGTTGATTAGAGTCGTGCGAATGCTAGACTATATATAGTAGTACTATGTTTTCATATGTTCGACTAGGTCATCGTCCCACGTGGCATTGACGTGACACTTACGTGGCAATTTGATCCTGGAAAAATAATAAAAACTGTGGCCCCACCTGTCAGCTAAAAAAGTTATTAATGGTGGGGTCCCCATGGGCCCCACATGTCAGCCTTAAAACATCAGTCCTCCCTTCTCTCTTCTTCCTCATCTCACTCCTCTCTTCTTCCCTCTCCCCCCTCTCTATCTTCTTCCCGGGCAGCAGAGCAGGCGAGCGAGGCATGCTATCCGAGCTCCAGCGGTGGCGGCAGCTTGGCGTGCACCGCAGCGGAGATCCTCAAGATGGTGGACAATGACGTCGTAGAGAGGAGTGAGGATGAGGGACTCGACGACGATGGGGGCCAGGGCAGGGGCCTTGGAGCTTCTTCTTCTTCTTGGAGGGCGAGGAGGGCTTCTTCTTCTTGGCCGGCGTCGGCACGGGGGTCGTCGAGCTTGGTGGGGATGGTGGCGGGCGCTTCGGCAACGGGGGAAAGAGGCGAGGCAACGGGAACCTCGACCGGGGGAGAGGAGGCCGGCGGCGGGGTGGCCTTGGGCCTTGGGCGCCGGGACGGATGCCTTAGTGGACTTGATGGGTGACGCGGTGGCCGAAGCCGGGGTAATGGGCGCCTGCGGAGGGGGCCGGGGTGGCGGGGGTGGTCGGCACAGCGGCGGGTGTGGGCGCGTCTTCTTGGAGGAGACCAGTGGCATGGTAGTCAGTTCTGCCGCGGGGGCGGGCGGAGATGGCGGCATCGATGTCGAGAGCAACCTCCTCCTCTGCTCCAACCTCGCCATCTCCGCCCCTCCATCGTCGCCAACAATAGAGCTCCTCACTTGGGACGACAGCGGAGAGACGGTGGCCTGGATCTGCGGGGACTAGAACGGCGCGCGACGGACGGGCGGGTGGGTGAAGAATGGCGGAGCATGCAAGCGAGGCAGGAGGCGGGTGTTAACACCAAAATTCCTGCACTGGAGCTAAGTAGATCTCCCAGGCCAGTGTGTGTTTTTCGCGTCAACAGCGGGTAGCGACCTCGGCTTGGCGGGGAGACCGTGGCCGCCGTGAGGGGCGGCGATGCGGTGGTTGGCCACCTCGGGTGCCGCTGTCCCGAGCTCCCCCGCCCGGTGGCCCAAGCGGTGAACAAGTTCCATGAGCTTGCCCGCCACCGCTTTGCTCCACCTGCCGCCCCCTTTGCTCTGCTTGTTGCTTGCCGCGACTCCGCCTGCCGTCGGTCCACGCACCGCCCCTCTGCTCCGCCCGCCGCCCCTTTGCTCCGCCTTGCCGCCGCTCCGCTCATCACCCCTATGCGCCGCCCACCCCCGCTCGCCCTCCTCCTTCAGTGCAGAACTGCAGGGGAGAGAGAGAGGGGGATAAAGAGAAGAGGGAGGATGACATGTGAGATCACATGGGCCTACCCTTTTTTATTATTTTGTGTGTAATTGACATATGGGTTCTAGGGTTTTTTTTTAATTATTTTTCCGGGATCCAATTGCCACATAAGTGCCACGTCAATGCCACATAGGACGAGGACCTAGTTAAAGGAGCCACGTAGATGCCACGTTATTCAAAACCGGGCACAATACTGTCGAGGGATCTCATCTGCATGGTTTTATAAGTTAGGGGATGCTTATGTCCGGTTTTCAGGAGCGAGGACGAAAATTAGACCGGCGACAAATTGAAGGACCTAAAGTGAACTTATTCCACTATAAACCCCTTTCTACGACGAAGTTAAAAGGGAGGCCGTGCATGATTTACGGTAGTGTAATCATTAAAGCCTTGTTTGGTTAATCTCATCTACATGTAAATTAGAAGATTTGGGGAAGAATAATTCGACACCTATTGAGAATTAATCTCTCTGAATACTCTTTAATCCCTCCCTCACGGGAATTGACATAATAAGGTCCAAAAGAAAGCGGTTCACAATTTTCTAATTGTAGGATGAACTAATGTGGTCATATTATATAGTCATTATAAATTACATAGTTCAGAATTTCCATCATGATTACCGAATTCCAACGGCACCCAAAAAATAGTTCCTTTTTATTTTTTCCAATATTTTTGATATCATTTTCGTTTCAGCGGCACCTCTTTATAAAAAAAAAAGTTATTGAAATGGTAGAGGCTATTTTCCTATCGTTTTCAACACTTTATGTACCCTCATCCTAGGCGGGCCATGGTTCAATGTTTTTGGAGACGTACGTATTTTGTCCTTTGTTTTATTTCATGCGGTAATTTGGACAAAGTGTGTTACAAATGCAATATACATCTGTAAATACTTGGGGACGAGTTCCTGCTGAAAAGAAAGGGAGATAGCAACCTAAGAGAAGATGAGCTTCTTATTATGTTATTCCAGAGAAAATTAATCAGAAACGGTGATGAACATCTTTCCAAGAATGGTGGGGGGAGACCCCTCTCGATCTCCCTCTCCTTTCACTCTTTCCCTCCTCACCTTCTCCATCTTTATGGGTAATTTCCAGGGATCTTTTCGACCACAAAACAGAAAAGATCCCCTAAAACAATACAATACCTACTGAAAACCACCAAAAGAAAAAAAAAAGAAACAAGAAAAAAAAAGCAGCAGAAGAACCCATCCTGTCGGCCATGCTTGTACACTTGAGTGTACACTCATCCCATGATCTCTGAAACTGCCATCAATCGACTGTTCTTTCCGTTCATCATCTTCAGGGATTCCTCTGCTCAGATGATTGGTTACTCACACTGTTGAATCACGAGTTGTATCTTGTATCTATATATATATGTGCTGCTTGTGTTCAAGAGTGCAAAGTTGTTGTTGGGCATTATGTTCCTTCAGTTCAGAACTTTGCACTCCAGATGGCGCTGTCGTTCTCCCCACATCGTTGATGGACCTCCTTCATCCGATCCGCCGATTTGCAGATGCCGCTGCAGCTCCAGTCGAACGACGCGGCGCACACGTTGCCTGCCTGCGCCTTCCATTCGCAATCTGCAGTAGTGCGAACCATTTGAAAAATTTGTAACCAACAGTTGGCTAAAATATGATCAGAAGTTGACAAAAGAAAAAAAAATGATTTGAAATTTCATCATGCATGTCAATCAGCAGGGTGATTGATCACGTCAGTCCAGAACTCTAAGCTCATCTGACAACGACAACATTTCCCCTGTAACAGTTTGCTAATTGTCCTGTAACACCTACCAGTCTCTGAAACTAATCAATTGTGTACGTGAGCATACATGACTAAATGACGAGCGCAATGGCCAATTTAGTCCATTACAGTATTTAAGGTGAAATGAAATATCTATCTAAGAGCAGCTGTGACACCTTCAGAGAGAAGAGAAGTGGCCTTGTTAGAAAAAGGTCCGATGTCTAGTGTCCTGACAGGATGCTTCATGATTACAAAAAACAATTGACAAGCACATGTTTGTGACAGCAGATAGCATACCTACTTAGTGAAGTTGACTGACAACCACCCCAAACTACAAACGCAACTGCACTGTTTCACCAAATGATTCGATACATTTCGTAATATAAAATATGATAAATACAGATCAAGTAAGCTGTATTCAGTCCGACTACCCCATACTATGAAGAGTTGACTGACATGTCAAGACCAAACAAGGATCTGGAAGAGCAAGGAAATCAGTTCAAAAGATGGTAAGGATTTTAACTATACCTGGTTGTGTACCGCAGCAAAGCCTGCGATCATCGACGTGTTCGACGTCTAGACCTATGAACCATGCTCCTAATGATACATCCTCATTAGCATATTTGTGGAGAACATGCCTGAAACATCACCATCATCCATGGTCAATGATGGGTAGAGGTTAGATAAAACATATTATGGTGTAATCAACAAAGAAAAACCAAATCTGAAGAAATTTCTTACTGGTTGATTGATATATAAGAAGCTAGATCCTTGGAGATTGCATATAACTGGCCGGTTGCATGACGGAAGTACTTGTTCCCCCATTCGCCGAATTTCCAGTACTCGGGCTCATGGTATCTTACACCCCTGAGAATAAAAAACAAATTGGTATTTGGTCAGCTGTTTAAAACATCAAGGAAGACATGACAACAACATGGGACTTACTTCTGAGCCAGGACTGGACCAGATTTCATGCAACCAATGTAAGCTCGAGGCTTCGACCGATGCTTAGCCAATATGTTACCAAGAGTTGCTGCAACATTTTTATATCTGATTATTATAGTATCACTATAACAATATCTAAAAAAATTATAGTATCACAATAATTGAGATGGAATTTTCCAGTAAAAGGGTTTTAAGCTTGTGCTTTGGGAGTAACATCTCTGAAGATTACAGCATATACGATATTTTATCAACTTTGAGTGTACAATTTGTAAGCCAAATACATAGCAGAAATTTAATGTAAGTAAAATATATGAACTAATCAAAATTTTAGCAGAAAAAACACTTAATGAAGGGATATGATGTTAGATCAGAGGGTAGTAATGCACACCTATATTTACATGTACATCATCATCCACTTTAATGTAGTACTCTGCATCCCACATGGACAAGGCTGTCACAAAGAACGATTTCGTCTTTGCAGCCAATTCCAGATACCCTTCAACATGATCCTGAGTGATCAAAAAATATTCCAAGATATTTCAGCTTTACAGACAAATAAACAAGCCAGTAATACTGTACTATATGCCAGCTAGAGTAAGTCCTATGGTAATTACCAATCTCATGAAGTCACCATGTTTCCTATCTTCTGCGTCTATAGCTCTATCGAGTATGCCACCAGATGTTGCGCTGTCAATTTAGAAAGGTTAAAATTTCAGATTCTGTGAGCTCAAGATATCGTCTTCTGACATTGCTGAATCATAACTGGTACTAACTCTTTTGTCTAATATAATAGAAACTCTCCCTTAACTATTGTCCATACAGATCGCCCAAAGTACATGTTTTCTTGCACTAACCTATGACCAATGACGAATCGGATGATAATTCCCTTTTCTTCCTCAAGCTTCCTTCTTTTTTCACCTGTCGCAAACACAGAAACAATATCAGGTAACATGTTTTACTGTGGGAAAAAAAATTCTCCATGCAAAAGAATGTACAACCTTGAGGCATCCACGTAGCACGAAGTGAATCTCTTCGTTTCCGGCTGCTGAATGCGGTGTTGATGCCAATGACCATGAAGTATCTCCGTTTCCCCGTAGATTCTGATAGCGGCGCTCCATTGAGCTCAGACTCCTCCTGTGACGCCTTTGCTGATGCTAACTCCATTTCTAAGTTTGATATTGTTTTGTCCAATGCCCTGATAACAAAACAGATTCTTATGAACCTTGGACTTATAAATTTGAGGTTAAAATCAGCAGCATAAAAGTAGGCTATCATTCTCTCAACCCTTTTGGTACTTACTGTATAGCATCCTGAGTTCTTGGGACCTCTCCAATTATATCTTTTTGCTCCATAACCTGCATAATATGCAGGAAAAATAACGATGCTCGTGAAAATGCATTGACGACATTTGTTAATTTTCTCATTCTTCTTACTAACAGTAGAGGTCACTGTAAATGATGTTTGCAAAGTAATCTGAAAATATTTGTGTGACAGTTAATGCTTACACTTTTCGGAGCACAGTCACCAGACAACAGGTTCATCTTGTTCACTTCTAGAGCCGATCTCCTGATGATCTCTTTTGGTTCTGGCATTGTCCACATCCTGCAACAAATATTTTTTTCTTATTTCCTCTGCTCCAAAATATAATCATTTTTAGAATAGTGTTAAGTCAAACATTTTTAACTTTAACTATTAATAGCAAAAGAATAAAAAAGATTAATCACGTAAAATTGATGTACTAGATTTATCATTAAACAAACTATCATAATATATAACTCTTTTTATTTAAAACATCTTAATGTTATAAATATTATTGGTTATAATAGCATTTTGAAGACTACGTCAAAATCTAAAAATGTTTATATTTTAGGACGGAGAGAATAGCATTTTTTAGGACGGTTGCGGTACTTGTTTATAGTGACACATAGAGTAACAACCGCAACAGAGTAAGCATTTAGTAAAAGACTGCAAATTAATGATTATTCTCATCTCATTTCTTTCGAAAAAATATTATTCGCATTTCACAGAAAGATACTAAGTGCATAAACTTCAGTGTAAAAAAAACAGAGGTTGTTGTTTGCTCCATGCTTGGCTGCTGGCTGCGACCTCTGCTGACGTTTCTGTAGCCATGACGTTTCCAACTGTATTTTTCACTGTACAAACTACCCAAGGAAGGCCAAAAAAGAAACAAAGGGCAATGATGCCATTTTTAACCTTACCAAATTTTAATAAAGTTGTCAAAAAAATGGCTACATTTAGTTTGTTGTCAAATTTTGATAACTACATAAGAAATCCTACTAAAATTTTGGCCACTATGCTAAAATTTTGGTATTGTCAAAATTTGGTAAGATTTTTTTTGGCATCAAAGTGAACAGGTCCAAAATTTACTGACCTCCACTAATGGGGCCATGGCAACTGTAACTTTCGTCCAGGTAAAAAAGCAGAAGTGTACTGGTAGCAGGAGTATACGTTGCTACTGTGTTGTCGGCGACAGGTATACGTTGTATATCAGGTAGTTAGCGATAAATGTACTCAGTATCCAGTTTTACCCACCCGTGCCGTCGGATCTTCTCGAAATAAAGAAGCGTCACATCGACCAGGCAAGTACGCTACGAGCTTCCAAGAACTCACCCACATTTAGCACGAGCAAAGCAGGATCGAGCCTTTAATTCGAGAGAGATTTTGCCCTTTTAAATTTCTTCCAGAGAGCTGCTTCTTCTGTAGGAGTACGCTACAGCAACAGCTTAGAGCAGAGGAGAGGAGATGAGAGTACAGTACGCCAGCTACAGTTGTTTGTTGTTCTTTGGGGGTGTACTCTCCATTGACCAGGAGAGGATGAGAAAAAAGAGCAGCAGAGGAACGCAAGAAAGAAACCAATAGAATTCAGAGAATTTTTGGCTGAACGAACCGAACGGAGAGGAGGAGGCAAAGAGAGAAAAGCGAATTGCTGGTAGGATCCGATCACCGCGGGACAGGATCAATTTTGCTTTTCTTTTCCTTTTTGGAATGGAATGGAAGATGAAAAAAAGGCGTCTAAATTCACCCGTACACGAATGGACGAAGCAAAAAAGCATGCAGAAAACGAAGGCGATCAAACTGATTGCATCACGCAAGATTATTCAACACCAAACCAGGACAAACCTGCAGGAGCAAGAAGAAGACGATGGAGGAAGCAGGGGGGCGTACCTGTTGGTGAAGATGAGGCCGATGCAGAAGCTGGCGAGGCAGAGGAGGAGGGTCCATTTCTTGGAGATGGTGCCACGGAGCACCAGCTCGTCCCCTCCGCCGAGCACCGCTGCTCCCCCCCTGCTCTTGTTGAAGCTCATCTTCACCTGATCTCTTCTTCCTCCTCGCTCGCCTAGCTCTCTAATCAGTCTCCAATTCACACGCCCTCACCTATGGATCCTGTCTCCCCGATCTCGGAGACCTCATGATCACACTCCAAGAACCAGAAATATGGTCCCTCCACCCTCCTGCTCCTCCTGCTGCTCCTCTAACTTTTGTCAAGATCAAGTCACTACTCACTACTACTAATATTACCTTTAATTTCCTCTCTCTCTATCTCTGTGTGTCAAGATTCTTTGGTTCTTGAAGCCGCCTGCTGCCAGTGGCAGGTGCCTTTGGGGTGAAGGGGAAGGCTGATATGGAGATGGAGACGAGGGAAAGGATGCACCAACTGCGTGCGTGCTCGCGCGCGTGAAGGGTGTAGAGTGGAGTCCGGGGGAGGGAAGGGATCTCGGCGATTCTTGGTGGCGCTGCTCCAGATTTATTCGGCCTTCGCCACTTGGTCCGGTCTGGACATCTCCGGCCAGCTTAGCTTAGCTTAGCTAGTTTAGCTTCTTTTAAGCTTTAGCTGAAGTAGTAGGTGGTTAAGTTAGGTTTAAACTTTGGTCTCCTCTTGTGGGGATTATTGTAGTGGAAGCGCCATTAATGAGCTGATGTGGTAATTAAGCCAGGCTAAGGTGAGTTTGGAGGGTGAAATGGCTGTTTTGCCCCCTTATTTTGTGTGGTCAAGTCAATGGCATGTTCACCTTGCGAGGGTCAGTAGTACTCAGTAGATCACCACCCCCATGTGTTGAGGGAATTAGATACAGTTGTGGTGCTACACCCCATGAGGATTCTCTTGTCATGTTCAGTTCAAAAATGGATACCTCTTCTATAGAGCATGCGACCAAACTTCTGCAGTTCTTGAAAAAAAAAAGAGCAATCATGCAATGCTGTTATGTGAAAATAGTGTCATCAAAATTTATCACAAAAAATATTTTAGTATTAATTTGAAAGCAGTACTACCTCTATCCCAAAATAAGCGCAGCCATAAGTTTCCGTGTCCAATTTTAATTGTCCGTCTTGTTTGAAATATTTTTATGATTAGTATTTTTATTATTACTAGAATATAAAACATGAATAGTATTTTATCTGTGATTTATATTTTTTTAGTTTTTTAAAACAATTTAAAATAAGATGAACGATTAAAGTTAAACACGAAAAATCATGTATGCATTTATTTTGAGACGGATGGAGTATCAATTTGTGCCATCATCTTTTACTACGCCTCTCCATTATCTTTTACTCCATGACTTGACTGATAAGCCATGAAAATGAACGAAGGAACCAAAATAGTTTGATAATTTATATGAGAAAACTTTTGTATCTGTGTTGATTTTAAAAGTAAATACTTAAAAAAAATAAACTAATATGGAAAACCCTTAAAATTAACTCTAACTTAATTAGATTTTCAAATTCAAATTTTCGCTATGACTAATAAGCCAAAAGTAAACAGATGCGACCGTATTCATGAGCAAGCTAAGACTTGCGGACTCAACGTGTTGCCAGCGTGCCTAAAAGGATGGTCAATAATTCGATTAAATTCACTAAAAAAATATATGACGATAATTTTCTAACAAAACCGTGCCAATTATTCACTACAATTAACGTAAATGTAAATGGTAGGATGCAGGATAGTGCATCTATATAAAAGTTAATCAATTTATATATTATATATTCACCCTTTAAAAACATGTACAAAGTTGGTGTCTAACGGGTCATGTATATGTCCTTGGACAGGTAGACTAATCATAAATTCGTAGTCAAGTCACCTGTAGAAATTGTACAAACAGTGTTTTCTTGTGGCGTACTTTTTGCCCATGTTAGCAAGTTCAGGCCACACATATATGCTAGCTAGTGAGGAGTATATAACAATGTACAGTAATAAAGAGCCATCGACCATTAATTGTTTATCTCTACTTTTCTTTGTAATGGAGCAAGGTATCTTCTTTGTTGCAATTGTTTTTGGTAAATTATGGACAAAGGGATCTAGTTCCTTTCTTCACCGCTTGCAAAGTATTTATTCTTGATAATTTGAGAGCGCTAAGCACAACGAGAAACGACTATTATTTTGTTATATCAAAACTATCACCCTGAAACGGCAAATTAACATGCTAAATCGCAAGAATACAAAATGGTCGTCGTTTCTGTTATCTGGATGCACATAACTCTGTTATCACCCTGCAACCGTAAATTAATTTGTTAGTGAACAAGACATACTAGTATCATATATATAGGAGTATCACCTATCACCCCTGCAACTGTAAATTAATTTGTTGCTGAACAAGGGAGATATTCACACGCATACAAAAATTAGCAAGAAAGCAGGGTTGTTTATGGGAGATAATTAATTGCAATTGGTGGGCAATAAGTTTATTATTACCAGGGGTGACCATGTGAGCGAAAGAGCGGATCCAGGTTGGGCTGAGCCCAAAGTCCTTGGCACACCTCATGTGCGATTAGGGGGGCCAATCATTGCGTGGATCATTGTCTAGTCTTTCTTGGTTTCTAGATCCAATTTTATTAGTACCCCAACTTGCTCCTCCGTATAATTATGCTATATTTTGACCAAAAGCCAAGGGCGTATATGCATCTTATAATTAATTAATTGGACAAGAACACACTTCGATCGTAGAAAGCACTAAAGCGAGATGGTACATTTTGGTACGTATATGTGCTGATGGTTTACTTTGTCCATCGTCCGTGTGCAAATAAATATTAGATTGGAAAATGTGCAACTAAATTGGAACAAATAAATAAGCTAAAAACCCTTTTGATTGGAGATACTATCAAATTAATTCTATTAAAAATCTTGTCACGAAAGAAATTATATGAAAAATCATCCGAGATGATTCTAAGTTAGCCAGAGGTGATGGCACGCGTGCTGCTGTTTTTTGTTTATGATTATGTAGAAGATGCACATTATATTACATTTATTTGATATCTGTTACAGTGCACAAGAGGAATACACAAATAGGCCATAACATTTCACATCCAGATACTAAATTCAAATTACATTTATAATTTTGTCAACTTAATTATTATAGTCTCATGAGCCTTACCGAGAAATTTTTTATTATTTTACCTTTTTAATTTTAAAAATAGATTCTCACAAAATTTATTTTCAGTTTTGAATCCTTTGGCACACAGTCTCGGTGATGTGGCCAAACAAAATTGCCACGTCATTGTTTCGCAGCCACCGACACTTGTATGACCAAAAAGTTCAGAATTAGAAAACAAATTTCAGGAGAGTCTACTTGTAAAATTAAAAAGGTTCAACTTTTTGAAAAATCCATTTACTGATGCATGCTACATGTGTGGATGCATGTTGTTCGAGCTAAGAGAGATGGCTTTGGATCAAAAGAATCCCATCAAATAATTCTGGATGTTCACATAAATTTCAACTATGTATGGAATACCTGAATAGAAAATCAAATCATTTTACTTTCATAAACATTAATTATAACTCTCTGCAGTTTTTTAAATACACGTAGAACAAAAAAATATTGGTCTAATTAAGGATTTTGAAGATATTGTTAAAATAGCATATTCTCATGATCCAGATACCAATGACTACTTATTAATTTATAACGTAATATGTTTTTATGCAAATAGTACTACATCCGTTTTAAAATATAGTGACCTAATAAACTAGATATTTCTAGTACTAGAATATGTAATATATCTTATCCCGTATTAGATGGTTATATTTTGATATAGATGAAGTAGAACACTAAACGCTCGTCAGATTAAAAAAAAAAACTCTGGCAGCCAAATTAGAAACTTAATTATTTCTCAACCTGGACTGGAGATCGATATACGTGATGCCAGTACGCACAAAAGGAACTGTTGGAGTTATTTTGCATTTAAAACGGTCGCGACTGTACTTCTTGATTGCAATGAAATACTCCTGCCAGCCCAAAAAAGACCATTGAAAAAGGAACCTAAAAGAGGAAGAGAAATCAAAGGGGCGATGCCCTGTAGCAGCCACGTGAACGGTCACATGCATTGCTGCTGCTGCACGGCGATCGCTGAAGAAGCTAGCTAGGCCCCCAAAATGCACTGAAGCTGCATACAGATACAGATACATATACAGAGGGTTGTGGGCACAATCTGATCGAACTCTGTAGTCTGTACCATGCCGATATCAAGTACCTCCTGGCCTAAAATCTCTAGAAAATTAACGTCATCGAGCTTCGTGTATATGTTCTTGGAAAACTGTACAACGGATAACGTATTCGGGACCATTTAGTACTACTGATTAATTTTTAGAAAATATAATAACGGAGTATAGTATATATTGTTGAATAATAAAATTTAAGTGATCTCGATGATGGTGTAGTCTACCAGTAGTAGTTGGTGATGGCTCATGTGACACGCTTTGTGATTTTCAATTTGTGCCGACGATTTGTTTGTGATTTTCTAAAGTTGGTAGTTATGTTAAAATTAATAGAAACTATATGCGGATAACTTAAGGTAGTATTTGGTTGGTTGGTGGGATGGGATGGGATGGGATGGGACGAACCCACTTTTAGAGGTGTTTGGTTGAGGGGCGAGTGGGATGGGTTGGTCCCTAGAGAGGAATATTCCTCCCAGATCCGGGACAAACCCATCCGGCAAAATCGGCCGGACGAGCTCGTCCCACTTGGACGGAGCACACGGCGTCTCCTTGGCGACCGCCGGCGCTCGTCCGCGCCCGCGCACGCTGCCTCCTCCGTGACCGCCGGCGCTCCGCCACGACCGCCTGCCACCACCTCTGCGACCGCCGGCGCTCCTCCACGACCCCCTGCCTCAACATCGGTCGCCGCCGCGAGCGAGATGCTCGGCGCCATCCCGCCGCTCATCGTGATGCTCGACGAGAGCGGTTGCAGCAGCTGCGGTGATGTCGACGCGGCGGGCTCGAGTGGCGGCGAAGCTTGGAGGTAGGGAGGGCGGCGGCGGCGGATCCAGAGACGGGGGACTCGGCGGCGGCGAAACTTGGAGGTAGGGAGAGCGGCGGCGGCGGATCCGGAGCAAGGGATCTCCCGATCCAGCCGCGGCGACGACGGTGGGCCAGCGGGTTGGGTGCTCCGGCGGTGGTGGCCGTCCTGCTGCTGCCGCTGTGCTTGATCCGGTTGTTCCACGCGTGGATGCAGGTGGCGCAGTCAATGGTCGTTGACGGTGATGGCAAACGGCGTCCATCTCATCTCTCCCTCATCCCTTTAACCAAACAAAAAATTGGGATTGTCCCATCCTACAAACCAAACATGTGAGTGGAATCATTCCAACCTCAAAATCAGGGATGGTTTCATCCCATCCCACCTAGTCCCGAAACCAAACACATGCTAAGAGATAAGCACTATCGATAAAAAGAGATACCACCTCTATCTTTAAAGAGTTGGTACTTATTCAAGAATTTGTCACAGATTACTGTTTATTTTCAAGCTTTGATCGTTCCTTTTCCAGCAATGAACTTTATAAATCCAATACTCTTTTAGAGGCTTTAATTTTTGGTGATAGCAGTGAATCTGCTACTCCATCTACTCATATTTTAGTTTGAGCATATTACCTCTTGAATTGCTTA